CAAAAAACAATTTACTGAAAGTAGTTGTAGAAAGTTAATTTTTTTTGTTCACATTTTGACTCAATTAAGAATACACATCAAGCTAGCAAAAGAATACTGAATAAAACACTTGAGTGATTAAATTAAAGTACACTAAGAAGGTGGCATTTTCAAAGAAAATGGGAGTTGCAATATTTCTGCATTTCACAAAATTCTGAAGCACATTGTTTAATTTGTCATATTTCCATCAGTACAATGAAAAACACAATAAGCTCAGCAGTCAATATGACAAATTCGAAGACCAACTCCGAACAGAAAATTTCCATGTGTTTGTATATTAATATAAATATACAACGACTTAGTTAATAAAAATCAATATCAATAATAATTCAAGCAATCCTATGCCATGCAATGTAGCGTGAAATGTCTTGACGAAAAAATCTGTCATTTGTTTTTTTACTGATCTATACATGAAATGATAAAAGTAACTTTTTTGCATTACTGGAATTAATTAAACTTTTGCAAAGATACAGATTAACCCATGATCATGTGACCTCGTTAGTTCGAGTTGTTACTATAAAATCATTTCAGCCTGGCCTTAGTATGCTGGTGACACAAAGAAGATGCCAAACGTCAGGACAAATGTAATTAAAAAAACATTGAGTTTATACTGTAGTATTTTTGTTAATTTTAGGTTCATATATTTAGATTAAGTCATTTTTAGTGTATATATTATTCTTTCCTTAACCAAGGCTTGTTCAAAAATGATTTTGATGGTTGTACATGGAATTTTATGATTTTTTGTAATAAATACAGTAACTTGCAATAATAGTGGAATGCAAATATTATTATGTAATTGCATTTGAAATTAAAGAAAATACTAAAACTTAATCCAACTGATTAGTTGCATCACAATATATGTCACAAACTAAAACTATCTGAAAAATATCTCGCGAGTATACATTATCAAAAACTGTTTGCGGCCCTTTTTACAATTTCCAACATGCAATGCGGCTCTCGAAACCCATGAGTTTGACACCACTGATCTATTCTAGACGATTCAAGCATTGCTTTGGGAAATAATATCACTTCAATTAAATTGAAAAAAAATCTCGCTATATTAAATAAAAAACCGTTGCTATCATAAAGGTAAACCAATTCAGCCACTCGGAATATATTGGCCTTCACAAAGCAATGGAGGCAGAATTGAGAGTTCATGAGCTATGAACTTTTGTTCTTTTCTTTGTCTTGAACTTTTCATACTCCACAGCCTCTATTAATTTTTTTTTAATTTTAATTACCATGTGATGGTCATACATACTGTATCTTTGTATTTTCTGTCATGATGTATTATCTCAATGTGTCAAACTTTTAATTAGTGTGTATATTTTGCTTGCAGATGACATGAATGTATTGTCTTGCTTATTACCTCAGCTTGGAGTATTGACAAGAAAAAAGTGCCCGTAAATTACGTAAAAAATGTTTAACTCTTTGATATAATCAGAATTCACATTTAATAGGAATTATAAACAGCCAACAATCAATGAGAATTATATGCAAAATTCCTCAGATTGAATTTGTCTTCTAAAATCCGAGGAAGACAAAACATATAGGTAGTTTCCATTCACACAAGTCTTTCAAGAAGACTTGCTCGAGACAAACTAAATGAGCATCGTCAGGTGATTGGTAAGGCTGCAAGTTGAATCAGCCCTTCAATCTCCTGCATAGAAGATAATATTAATTAGCGGGCTATGAGCTAAGTTCCTAAATTTAGACACAAACCTATCTACGAGGCATTATGTACCAGTAATGTTACCTACGATTAACTGAATATGTGATATGTCTAATAAATTCACCTACTAAAACAAGTTCGATAGGTGCAAACTTTGTGTTATGGAATTGTATCACAGCACCTTTAAGAGAAGTAAAAACAGTTTTGCTGTTTTGTATGACACCCTCTTTAAATGAAATTTCAATGTTTAAGCGCAAACATTAAAATTACTAACTTTGAACTTTGTCATTATCTGCAAAATGTTTCACACAAATCTTTACGCTATCGCGTTTGTAATATTCTCTGATAAAAAAACGTCTATGATGTTCAGAATTACTCTTTACAGCTTGTCTGCCATTCCAGCTTTCCAAATGAGCAAAACTTCTCAGATATAGAGATTATTTTCTTTCGTTACAGGCGCAAAAAGGCAGGTACTACACGTAAAGAAGACGCCGAGTAGCAAAAGCAAGCGGAAAACCGTCGCGAAAGGCGACGAGAAATATGTGCATTGGAGCGTATCATGAAATACAATCTTTCGCATGTAGTCTTATGGAGTGACGTCAGAGTTGCCTATCATGTTGTTTAATGTCATTGGTGGGAACAAGCTGGAATGCGTTTACTATGTTCATTTTCATACAAAACTAAAGAATTTATTTAGTTACCGCAAGTTCGCTACGAAACTCATTTTCAAGATTTGACGCGCGTGTAAACTGGTTTACTCGTTTCATAATTATGTTTTTGAATAAAAATATTCCACCACACGCAATGGACCTTTCCCCGATCTTTCACCCTGGAAAATTCTTCCTATACTTTACCATTGCAAGATTTTCGGGGCTATTTTTCGAGTGCTTTTGCGAGTTGGCGCCTGTAAAATGGGGTATGTGTTTCAAACCATTATTATGATTCATCGCATACAACAATCTGTTTTTTAAAAGTACCGGTAAAGAATTTTAGCCAAGTCTATCACAGCTATTTCTACACTAATTTTTTATTACTGCAATCGAATTAAAACTCCTAGGAAGACATAGTGATCATTGAATTATCTGATTTATATTTAAGTTTCCGAAACACAACTGAAAACTAACGAATAGAGTTCAAAAACGCGAATACGAGGTAATGTTTACGACCACGCTTGAAAATCTGTCTGAGTGAGAAAAGTGTCTGAGCGGATGCGAAAAGGGAGAATTGTTACGTCACTTTTTGCATCTTGCTGATTTTCACGAAGTCAACAAAGAAGTCGATGCTGGGGGAAAGGTCCATTCAAGATACTGATACCGTGTTTCCTCAAATATAAGACTGGGTATTATTTCCATTTTCTTTCAAATGATAACACTAGGGCTTATTTTCGGGGGATGTCTTTTATTTTCATTCATCAAAAACAAAATTACAAAGTAGAGAATTACGAGATTTTCAAATATATATACAAAATATGAAAACCGATATCCATTTACTTAAAAATAAGTAAATAACAGGTTTTCCTCTCTCACACGTTTTAGATTAATAATTTAAAATGTGTAGGAAAGATTTCTTGCAATGAACTGTCTATAGTCAAAAAAAAATTCGCGTTATTGACTCGGTCTTATTTTGGGGAGGAAGCTTATATTAAAATCATTTATAAAATTCAGTTTACGTTGTGAGTTAATTTAGAGTATTTCTTAGTTTCGGGGAAACGCGGTAGCTAGTTTGTGTCTAGTCTATCGCAGATTTATCGAGTCTAATGCAACTAAACTAAAACTCTTCGGTAGACAAGTATCCCAATTTTGAAAACACAACTGAAATATAGTATTAAAAACATGATAGAAGACTTTATCACAATATTTTGATGGTTGTCTTAATTGAAAAAAAAAACGAAATGAACAACTACGAACAATTGCGGATTCCCTTGTTGACTCCATTTTCATAGAGTCTGTATACATATGTTATCTGATGTTATCGTGACTTGCACTTTTACCCCTCTTCATTTGTCGTAGCCTATTTGTGGAGCGGCGTTGTAGGCATTACTGCATTAGTGATTGCAGGTTCCAAAGCGTACATACGCCTGGTACTGACTGTCGTATAGCGTTTGGCGGAATGCCCTATTGATCGTGACTGCGACCTGCTTGATGTCGGAATGTAATTTTTGACTTGTTAATGGACATGCTGAGTGATTGCTTACATTTAACGTTAATCATTTGTCCATTTTACCTAAGCAGTTGCAGGATTGAAATTGTAGTTTTTTCATAAAATCTGAAAGCAATGGCAGAATGGATGCAAGAGGGCAGAGGCCATGCTTCAAAAATCTGAAAATGGTTACAGGGTTAGGGAATAACATGCGGATCAGAGTTGGAGCAATTGTAGGCTAATTGTTGATGTAATTAATTACAGTTTTTCATGTAATTGTAATGTAATGGAGGCATTTTCATTCTGTGTAATTGTAACTAAAAGTTTGGCTCAATTACACTTTCAATTAGACTAAATCTACGGTACCGTAAGTATTTTGAAAATGGATGAACACCAAACAAACTCTTCCGAAACCTGTGTTGAACCGCTTTTTTAAATCTTTGAGCAGCACTGAGGCATTCGATGGGCCGTAGAGGAGTCACCACTGCCACTCTGAAGAGATGTTCTCCCCATCTTTATTGGGGTCAGAAACTTCTCGCAGCCTAATCTGCATCAAGTGCAATGCAACAGTTTTTGAGCAAGTGAAAAAGGAAATACGAACCAAAATGTTATAATTGTAAATGTAATTTGATATTTTTTGCACGGAGTAATTGTAATGTAATTGAAAAGTTTAAGGGAGTAATTGTAATTCAGTAATTGAACTGGATTAATGTAATTGATCCAACTCTGATGCGGATCAAGGTAAGCCTATTTCATTTCGGCTGTTTTCGATACTTTACAATTAAAATATTTTACCTATGCTTGCTTGCAGCAGGGTTATAATACAGTAATAATAGTATTTTCACAAAATCTGAAAGCAATGGATGCAAGAGCCATGCTTCAAAAATGGTTAGGGAATAACATGCGGATCAAGATGTCAGATGGCCGGACATTGATTGGAGAATTCTTATGTACAGATCAACAAAGGAATATAATACTTGGTTCGGCTCAGGAATATTTGCAATATACTGAGAATGATTGTTTGGAAGAACCCAGAATGCTTGGCCTGGCTATGGTTCCTGGTAGACATATTGAGAGTTTACAAATTGATATGCAACCAAATTCAGTGATTTTGCATGGCACTGAAGAACAAGATGTTGGCCCTTTCTAAAGATAAACGGAGGATAACACTGACCATAGCGTGAGGTTCAAGAATGGAGGTGTGCCTCAAATCTGCATATAGACAAAGCAGACCACGTATGATTGCTAAATTGAACTCTGAATGTGTAGTTCAGTGTAATTGCTGATGGTTAAAATCTGCGATTGTGATGTATTTTGCTTAGTTATAACTTATTAGATTTCAGTCTGAAGCCAGGTATTTCAAATTTGCCACATAACTTTATGAACATCTGTACAACTGTGTCACACATTTAAATTAGAATATACACTATATAAAAACTGTTATTCCATCTTCTTTTTTATCTTAAATTACTGTATTCGCTAATTGATAACAATATTTAATTTTAGATTTATTAAAGTGTCACGGGTTTCTGATTATAAAAGGAATAGACTGCTTTTTACTTTATAATTTACTTCCCTATTCAATTTTATGGAATTCCATTCTTCAGTTTTTTGTGTCTGGTTAGCAAGGTTATCCACCCAAGTGTTTGGAAGTATTTAGATCACTTGAACTCATACTAATCAAATCCTGTTTTCCTTTTTATCTGTATCTCACTGATTAAATTAGAATCAATAACACACCGAGACAAGTCCTGGTCAACCGGGGAATCTGATGATATGTTTGCAATCTAATCGCCTTACTTCAAGCTTGAAGTTCAAAAACATATGTGGAATCTTTTATAATATTTACCCAAAAAGTGCAATGGCTCAGAACAAACTTCACACGAATAATGAGGATGGAACATTGCAAGACCTTAAATTTGATAATCTTGCTCTACGAGAACTTCCAGTTGACACAAGCAGAGTCCCTGGCTCTCGTCAAGTGAGTGGTGCTTGCTTTTCACTTGTCACTCCAACACCTGTCAAGTCTCCCAAAGTGGTGGGAGTCTCCAAATCTGCATTGTCTCTTCTAGACTTGAGTGATAACGCAATAGAGTCAAAAGATTTTGCCGAATACTTCAGTGGAAATAAAATTATGAGTGGGAGCGAGCCAGCTTCACATTGCTATTGTGGGCATCAATTTGGGTATTTTTCTGGTCAATTAGGCGATGGGGCTGCAATGTACCTTGGCGAAGTTGTCAATAAGAGCAAACAGAGATGGGAACTTCAGCTAAAAGGATCGGGATTAACTCCTTATTCACGTACTGCTGATGGAAGGAAAGTGTTAAGATCATCCATAAGAGAATTTTTGTGCAGTGAAGCAATACATAATCTTGGTATACCCACAACAAGAGCAGGTAGTTGCATTACATCAGATTCGAGGGTGATTCGAGACATATTTTATGATGGAAATCCTAAAAATGAACAATGTACTGTGATATCACGTATTGCAGAAACTTTCATTAGATTTGGATCATTTGAAATTTTTAAACCAACAGACGAAGAGACTGGCCGAGCAGGACCTAGTGTTGGTCAGACTGATCTTTTACACAAAATGCTGAAATATGTTTCCAGTACATTCTTTCCTGACATAGTAGAAAGATTCCCTGACGAAGAAACAAAACTTGTTGAAATGTATCGTGAAATTTGTCATAAAACTGCCAAACTTGTAGCCAAGTGGCAATGTGTTGGATTTTGTCATGGCGTATTGAACACCGATAATATGAGCATAGTTGGTCTAACTATCGATTATGGACCGTTTGGGTTTATGGAACGATACGACCCAAATTATGTTTGCAATGGATCTGATGATGGTGGAAGGTACTCGTACAAAAACCAACCTGATATATGTGAATGGAATTTGCAAAAGTTGGCTGAAGCGATCAAGGAAGCGGTTCCGTTAGCAAAAACTACACCAGTCCAGGAAGATTATAGAAAGGTATACGATGCGGAGTATATATCAATCATGAGGCAAAAGTTGGGGCTTTACAAGGAGGGAGAACAAGATCTAAAGTTGATTGAAGATCTACTGAAAACTATGGAAGAAACCAGCGCCGATTTTACAAATACGTTTCGGTCACTATCTTCTATGTCTCTTCCGGGAATGGAAAATTTTAGTAAATCCAGAGGGGAGACGATAAAATTAGTCTCGTCAACATGCTTCAACCTTCAAGAGCTGAAAACAATTTATAAACCACGAATGAATCCGCAGCAACTTCAATCCATATTAGCGCTTGTTCGTGAAAATCCTGCTTTCTTACAAATCATGACAGGCGGAAGAATGGGAATGATTATGACTGAAATGAATAATCTGGAAAAAATGGAGAAATTAGATGACATGACAGAAGATAGTTTGAAAAAGGAAAACGTTGAAAAATGGACAAAATGGTTCGATGAATATGAAAAACGGTTAGCCGATGAAGCATCCGTTTGTAATAACCTTGTAAAACTGAATGAGAATCGTATTATTATGATGAATAAAACGAATCCTGCATTTATTTTGAGAAATTGCGTTGCACAGAATGCTATTGAGGAAGCTGAGAATGGTAATTATGGAGAAGTACATAAACTGCTCAATCTATTGGAACATCCATTTGATGAAATTCATGTCACCAAACCTTCAACTCAAGAAATAGCTGAAACGAGCGCAAGTTGCCAACAAGGAGTGAGCGATGACGATAATCAAACTATGCAATATTCTTTAAATAAGACGCCTATGTGGGCATTACAACTTAAGGTCACCTGATCCTCTTAGAAACTTTCTTCATATTTGTGTTTGGTGAATAATAGTAATATTGACATGCTTGTACAAAACTTGCCAAATAATGGGAGTCTGCATTTGCTTCTGCCATTCATTCAATGTGCATGAATTTGTTAATTGTCATCATTATCTTTTATAAATGTCAACTATTATCCGATTTCACCATTCACATGATATTATTTTGTTGCAGTACTGGTAATTTCAATAAAGTTGAAAAACTTATTGGATTTTTCATGATGGTAAATTCATAAACCCGGATATGCTGGGATGTTTTTGCTTGAACCCACTGGTACTGCAGCATGCTATTGTGAATAAGTAATTCTCTGTTAGATGCAATATATTTGTTGAATTAAAACTATACATCTCATTTGTTGAGCTTTCTTTCACATCAAAAAGGATAAAAAGCACCAGAAACTCCATATTTTTGCTTAGATACACAATGCTGTTGGCCTACTATCACCCATAGTTTGCCGTATTCATATAGGTTTGTTTGTTGTTGGGAAGCCTCGTACACCAGTATGCCCCTCTTTGGTGCTTCCAATCAGGTCTTTGTATTTAATGGGGCACTACCTGAATAAGTTTGGGTGCTTTGACTCCGACTGACTACATGCAGCTAGCTGAAAATCTATAAAAGGCATATATTGTCCAACTGACCAGTTTAAGTGAAATCACCTGCCTACTAGTTCTATATGTAGTCATTGATAACAATTAGAAGCATTCATTCATTATTAGAACTGCTTTTAGAAGACTTTTATTCAAAATGGAACATTCATGGGCAGAACATTATGATTGAGGAGATAAAAGACATGATCATTTCAAATGATAATTCCTAAATTTTTTCTTGTTCGTCTGGCTCATCTAATTTCATTTTCTTTGGAGCAGGATCTTTGTCATCATTGCTTTGATTTGCATCAGATTCTACATCTTTTTCCTCACTTTGAGCTGGTTCTTGATCACCATCCTGTGAGGATGGTAATAAACACTTGTTATCAGGTAGAGTACAAGATTAGGATTTCGTGGCACAAACAAGCCAAAAATTCCTGACCACTGCATTACACTGTAAATATGCTGTTTTGTTAGAGCATCTGTGATATTATGGCAACAGTAAAGTTAACAATATAAATCAGGCAAGCAATTACGACACTGTTCATGATTGGTTTATACTGCAAGGTGAGAGGTCACATATCTTGGGGGTTGAGTCAACCAATTCAGCACATACACCACTGGGGCAACTGCTTTTATTTTCCATAAGTACAACAAGATCTGAGCTTAGATCTTCAGTATGGAAGCAAGAATATTTGATTATCACAAATGCAATTTCAAAAGTACAACGTTAAAAACAGAGTATTGTAATATGCATCCAGCATCCATACAATCACTGGGCATTTACTTCTACATACATGAATGATTACCTTTGCTTTGTTATCTGTGCTTTCCACAGCTTGCTGTTTTTCATCTCCAGCCTGTTGTGCTGAATTCGCCTTTAGATTTAGAAATAAATATATTTAGTGACAAAAGGGTAAAACAACCTCGGAGTAACTTCCACACAATGTAATTTTTAAATCCTATGGGTAAATAATACTTTAACTGTCGAGAACTACAATGATGCCTCTAGCAATGTTCCCTCTAATTTTTTGTAGTATGTGTGCGCAGAAATTTTAGTGTGTGCGCGCTTTTTTGGAAATGACTGATATTTGTGCAAAAACCAATGAAGAAATTTCGGCGTTCTAACCGGGTAATAAGTGGGTCAACAACAAACTTTCTCAACCTGCCAACCGAGCACATTGTTACATTACATCGAAATACGTTTGTGCGCAGTAAATCTATTCGTGTGCGCACCCTCTGAAAGCTGTGTGCGCGCGCACACGCGCACACCTTAGAGGGAACACTGGCCTCTAGTACTTTCTGCTGTTTAGACTAGTTTTTATTAAGGGGAAAACTTCACATTCTGTCTATTTAACAGAACAGTTTATAAGAAAATGCTTTGGTGTGCTAAATGTATGTGTTTTAAGATACAAATATCCAGAGGAACCTAACAAACACGGAATAACACAATTGCCCGATTATCTTTTAAGGATAGGATTAGGGTATCTTTTCCTCTTACTTCATCCTGCTCCATATCTTTTGTTTCTGACACAGGAGGCTCTACTTCAAAGGCAATCGGTACTTCTTCAAATTTATTTTCTTTATCATCCTCTGTGGTAGGCTCAGGTGGTTCAGCCAGTGATTGGAATGCAACCTAAAGCATAGATGTAATATTAAATCACTTGAAAAGACATAGCCATTTGGCTTAATATCATGATGAAAATTCCACTTACTTTTTGTTTATTCATTTCTTTCACAATTGTCAAATACATATCATAAACATATTGATGCATCTGTGCCATATCCTTGATAACAAACTTAGGTGCAGCTGTATTGCGCAGTGTTTTTGGAGGGTAGGTTTCTCCTGTTAGTAATTCTAGTTGCATAGGTCTCATCAATAATTGCTTGAAAGCAGGTGATAACTCAAAGCAATTTCTGAAGAGTGGAACTCTCGCAAAGATGTACAAACCCAGCCTAGCTCTCGACATAGCAACAATCAATCTCCTTACATCCCTTATGTGTCCAACTGTCTTTGTCCTAACAAGAGAAAGAAGAATGTAGTTGTTTTGTTGACCTTGGAATCTATCAACAGTGGTGATTTTATCTGGCCATCCGATGAGAGGGTTGTCACCACATCTTTGCCTGACGACATCTCTGATTAAATGCTTTTGACCATTGTACGTTGTCAAGATTGTAATTTCAGAGCTTGGATATCCAAGAAGTCGCATGTACATGAAGACACCTACACAGTATTCAGCCTCAGCTAAATTTTGATAGAAATAAGGATTGGGTTCTGATTCTCCCACTCCATTATAATCTTCAACATTTATAACTTGAAAATCAAACACGAAACCAGGATTGAACATCTTAAATTCAGGTTGTGCGAGAACATGTGGCAAATCTCTCAATACCTTGTACCTCCAACTATAGAGACTGCGAATAGACGGCCTTGCTCTGCCTTGAGCATCGAGATCTACAGTGGGAACTCCCAACCGAACAAGCCTTGCAAATAGGGACTGCTCCATGTTACATAAACGTTGAAATGCCATGTTTTTTATCACAGGTGGTAACTGATGGTGATCTCCAATCATTATCCAACGTTTTAACCTGTTGTATCCATCAGAAGGATTTTGCAGTAACAGAGGTATAAACGTTTCAATTTCCAAGATCTGAGCGGACTCTTCCATGAGTATGTTATCATACTTGAAATCCATTTTAGTTAAATCTTGCCTCTTTAGTGCTGCATGAGTACATGTCATAGCGATAATCTTTGCACTTTTGACAAGCAGGTAATGAGAACGATCAAGGCCAGAACGTAAAAGTTCAAACGCACGGTATTCTTGAAGTTTTTCAAAGATATTTTTAATATGCCTGAAACATCCTTGCGCAATGTCCCAATCGTGCTCAAAATCCTTTTTGGGAAAAAGGGGTTGTGGTGCAGCTGCGAAGAATGAGTGAAAGGGAAATTTGTCAGACACTGTTTCAGAAGTGTTTTTATTTTTAACTTCATGCTGGTATTGCTCCCATCTTGAAAGCACTTGATACTTGAAAAAATGTGACGCAGTTTCACAAGTGTATGAGACGTCACCAGGAACACCTAAGCTCTCTTGCAATCTACCAACATCTTTCAGAAGTGCCAATCTTTGAGTCAAAACATAGTTAACTCTCCCGTATCTTGAAAAATCTTTTTCAGTATCGAGTTCCTCTTCACCATGACCTAAACGTAGAAGGTGTCTTTCGTCAATATCTAAATGAATAAGTTTCTCAAAAAGCTGGTTCAATGCCTGGTTAGAATGAGTAACAATCAGTGTCCTCTGTTCTGGAAAGTTATGATACAAATTAGAGATGATTTGCACAGCAACATCAGTTTTTCCAGTACCAGGAGGTCCAACAACCATGGTAAGACCCGGCTGCATTCCTGACCTGATTGCTTCAGTTTGTGTTGGAGTAAATCTGATTGTATTCTTCTGGGGTGCATTAAATGGATAAGGTCCACGATTTGGTATCACGTGTGCAGTGACTGAAATTTTCTTGTCTTCAGGAAAAGACAATTTGAATGGTGGAATCGGAATTTGGGAATCCTCAGAAAGTGACACATCATAACCAGGAAATGCTTCTTTAAGATGATCCAAAGACAAGAAAGTGTCATTCCAGTCAAGATTATCAATGATGCGTCCTAACTTTTTGTAGTTCGCTGCACCTGGATCTCCATATCCTAGCAGTACATCATGTAGCCAGGTTGGTACAACACATTGTACATTCATTAGATTTCTTATTGTAGCAAGCACTGCTTTAAAGTTGTTTTCTTTTGGTTTGCGCCGCATAATGACATTGAATGTCTCATACGGATCTTGTTCACCATCTTTCAGAACTGCTTCCATATCATCTTGGTATTGATTGGTGTCTAACCAGATTCTATAGGTACGAGTATTTCCATCAAGTTGAGGCTTTGGCTCTGGACCTTCTTCTATCACATGACCTTCGCTATCAAGCATTCCTTCAATCTCACAACCTCGTACAACTACATGGTATTTTGATAGAAATGGTACACTACGGTCTCGTCTCACTGTTTCATCCACTTCAAGTGCTGTAACAGACAGAAGCACACAAACATCATGCTTTCGTAGATTTTCCCATTCCGCTCTCAGTTGCCTTGATGATGACAAAGCAATTGTGACATCAGCACGAACTTGAGAAGGGCAAGACTCTGCTATATCTGGTTTGGCAACTTCCACAACGTTGAATGCCTGGATAGGTAGTGCCATCCTTGACCATCCACCAAAAGATGAAGATCCGTCATTTGTAGGATAAGGTTGAAGACGTTTCACCGCATCTTCAATATCGCTTTTAATTTCGTACGCTGATTCAAGACGAAAAAGGTTGAAGTTACGCAATAGGTAGTCATGAAGAGTCAAAAACTGAAGATTTAGTTTTGGAAGTGCCAATGTCCTATCATGAAAGAAGTTTTCTGTTTTTGTAAGATTCTCATCCCAAAGAACTTTTTCAGTAGGATAAAGCGGAAGTCTGTTGATTGCTTCAAGTTGTGATGGTCGTCGTTCATACTTATTTATTAGCATTTCAAGTATAATTCGTTTGTCATCTTCTTCACTGACTCTCATTACAATTTGATCACATAATTTTTTCATTTCTTCTAAACTTAAAGCTCCAAAATGTTTGTTGAGCGCTTCACGCTTGTCATTGTGTACTACAGTTCCAAGAGCAAATTCCTTTAAGTTTGGAAACTTTGAAAATGCACACCTCTGCAACTTCTGCATTCGGTCATAATGTGCTGTAAGCATTTCCTAAAATAAAAAAGTTATTACAAACACAACTCAACAGATGGATATCATTTCTAAGATGAAACATGAACAACAAACGGGAACTTTGAATTTGTCATGTTCAAAAATAATTTATAATATGTGCTTTATTAATAAAGTTTAAAACATTGGTTCTTAATAAATTTTCATAATGTGTGCCCCTCTTCCAGAGACTCTCGACACTCACACACCCTGCTCTTCTATAACATTACCTAGTTCGGCTGTTAGAATGTTTCTTTCAGTTTTTTTATGCATTATGTTAATTAAACAATAAGACAGCAAACAGAGGCAAAAAAATAAATACATTACAGTCAAAGAGGTAAACGAATCACAGTCAATTTACTTGGAATTAATATAGTCAGTCTGAATGGTACTTGGCGAAGGCCTTTGCTCGTGGCTGCCTAGGGGGGGCAGCAGGCCCAGTATGAAAAACCGTGGTTTGAAGGGGAAGTTTGCTACAATTTAACATATTCTCAAACATTTAATTCGATGATTTCCATTCCAAATTTATAATAGGCATATTTTACATACCTGTTCTGTGAGTGCCTCCCCTGTAAGATCATTGACTTCAAAAACTGCATAAGCTGCAAGATTTTCAACAAGCTGTGAGAAAACATCATCGTTTTTGTAGAGTTGAGATTGGCGACAACGAACTACAAATTGAGCATCATCTAGTAAAGTATTGAAATTTCTTCGAGTTACGAGGCAAGAATCTAGATCAATCATCAACTGCAAAAATCTTTGACAATGATCAATAGCTTCATCATTCATATTTGTAGAAAAAAGAAGAGTGAGAAAATGATCCATCAGTTTTCGGAGAAAGCTTCTATCGAACTCAGATTTTTCATTTTCGTCATCCGAAGCTTTAGCATCTTTTTTAGCAATAGATTTCCAAAGTTTTTTGAGCTTAGTACTTTTCTTCAGTTCACTTTCCAATCTTTCTGGTAGTAAGCATTTCCAACATCCAAGTGTAAGAGTACGAAGGGTTCGTAATCTTACAACATCAACTTCAATACTGTTATAGCAGTGATTCAAAAAAACAATGCACACGGTACGTTGGATAATTGGATGTTCTGAATTCAAAACTATTTTCATAACTTCCGTGAAGAAATGCCCAAAATGTTCTGGCTTTTCAATGAATACTTCCCATGCAGGAACACTTTCCCGTCTTTTTTCATTGACCATGCATACAATTGACATTACAAATGCATGTGTCGATGTTTCAGGTGTAAAATTTGGCCATAAATAATTTTCTAAATACCGACTGAACTCCAGCATCATGAGCCTTCGAGGAATAAATTCCTTGCCAACAATTTCAGTCGAAAATACTTTTTCGATTATACTTGATTGAAACTTCTCACTTTTTTCTAATGCTTCATTTGACCAATGCTTTGATGCCAATTTTGTTAAAGGATCAAAAAGCATTTGCTCCGTAGTTGGAGCCAATCTGGCACTTTGCTTCGGCATTTTGCAAATTTTCAATAATACAGTAATAGTTATAAAGATATCTGTCAAAAATAAAAATAAATGGAGAATGAGCCCATAGTATACCTATATTCCGATATTATGAAATTTTCCCATTTCGGTATTTATTCATCACAGCGTAGAAAAAGGAAATACAGGATACAATGATAACAAAGCGTCTTCGCCCCTAGTGATATGGACATACCACTGTCTGACTGTAGACTACTAGTCCAGCAGTCATAAAGATCCATTGATTTGTCAACCAAAACAAATAAATGAAAACCATACATACAATAAATAGACACTGTTTTTCGGGAAAGACTGGAGGGAGCGATACGAATATACAGTCATCCAAGTCAGCTTCCCCCAAATTCGGGTCTAGTGTAGTTTCGTACCTGAAGAACTACTAGTGGGCAATGCATAACAATTTTTGCATATTATGTTAATCCTAACCTCCATCTGACTACGCTATTCAAAAATTGTTATGCTAAACCCACTACTGCACTAGAAGTACTTCAGGTACAAAACTACACGAGACACCCAAATTCATTGTAGTGTTATGCATAGAATTCAGTTATTGGATGACAATATATAGTCTACAGAGGCAAATTACAGAATTATTACAGTATCAAACACTCATATTACATTAAAAAATAAACAAGCACAAATAGGAGGAACTCATGATTGTAGCTAAATCTCAGGTTTACTCTCCATGCTTGCCATGGCCAAAATTATACAAGTTCAGAAGTTATAGGCCTAATGCTGTACTGTATTTGAAGAAAGAGACAGTGCTGCAGTGTATTTGAAGCTATACCGTTACATTACATGGGGGTAAGTTACTCAGGTTAGAGTAAAAAAAATCTTTTTAGAACCTTTATAAACGGTGATTCTTTTCCATCCAAGCTTCGCTGTTTTCTTAACAGCGTTGACTTGAATTGTTTTAAAAGGTCTCTTTGAGTCTTGTGTCTACCGCTATGACACCGATAGATAATACGTGTACGTTTTTCGATGGCCATATGGACCTTGCTTTCACACAAACTTGCATGCAAAGCATGATTGTATTAAAAATCGGTTTCGAATAAATTGCGATATCGGCGCTGTTCGTATTCAAAAACCGCGGAGCATGATAAGGTGCGCAAAGTTCATTATTCCTATCAACAGAGGGCGGCATTCGTAGTAAGTGCTAGTACGATGGTAACTGAATGATATAGCGAACCATGGCTTCTCGCCCGGTCTTACTACTTACTGAATACAGCGCGAAACACCGCAAAGAGCGCGAAACAGCGCAAAAGAGCGCGAAACAGCGCAAAATAGCGCGAAACAGCGCAAAACAGAGGGAAACAGCGCAAAATAGTGGGGAAACAACGCGAAAGAGCGCAAAACAGAGGGAAACAGTGTGAAGCAGAAAAAAATTTTGCAATGAGTTCGGGGCACCTTGTTTTGAGTTGGATTACCACGGCAGCAAATTAAAAACACAAACCAACGTATGTAGCCAGTAATGCTGTAATGGCAGGTCTGCCCCTGCTGGTGACACATTTTGGGTACCATAATTTAGAACATTTTCCATGTGGATATGGTTGGCTTTAGGGTTAGGGTTAGGTAAAAAGGGACCTCCAGAAGTATGTGCACCAAGATGGCGCACAACCTGAAAATAGTATGTGTGTGTGTAGCGGATTCAGGTTGTGCGACATATTGCTGCACATACTTCTGGAGCACCAAAAAGGTAGATAAAATTTCGCATGATGACCTATAATCCGGTACATAACCTTGTAAATATACCGGAAATAGCGCCATAAAACCATGGCGAGAGGCGCCGTGGTTCTTTCGTGGCAGGAGGTGGTAATGACTGCGTCTCCTGTTTTGCGCTGGTTTCCTTCTGTTTTGCGCTGTTTCGCGCTATTTTGCGCTGTTTCGCGCTATTTTGCGCTGTTTCGCGCTCTTTTGCGCTGTTTCGCGCTCTTTGCGGTGTTTCGCGCTGTATTCAGTAAGTAGTAAGACCCCTTCTCGCCCAGTTATCAGTCCGATACGGTATATTATCGATAGTTATTTACGATGGAGTAAGAATTCCGAAACAAGAAGTACAAAAAACAGATACATGAACTTGACGACGGAGGAAAAAAGCCGAAACCAACACCTGCAGAAAACACCCTTTTAGCGGTAAGGAGTCTACCAATCCATCCGCACATAAGTACCCCCACGGGTTACGAAATTATGTAAGAAAGAGATTTATGAAGTGCGGTGGCAAGCTTGCTCCTAACGCAGCGTTATTAGAGGTGGTTGACAAGCTTGCTTCAAAGCAAAGCACGATACGCTAACCGCTTTCCTCAATAGAAATATCTCGCTTTAAATCTTGAGCTCCCAGGTCCAGCCAAGCGAAAACCCTTCATATTACGACCGACTTCTCAGCATATTTTCACAATGATCCTAACCCTTCACCGTCCCCAGACACAGATAAAATTCAAACCAAATCCACTCAAGCACCAATAAGACAACTTACCACAACAAAATTATCTATAATATATCAAAATCTCTACATTCTACAAAAATATAATAGATAATTGAACATAAATAAGACAGATTTAAGTCTCGTACAAAACAAATATCATGACAGGTATCATACAAAAGTTGCAAACACAAATATAAACAGCACATATGTCACGATTTTCGTCACATACATTGAACAGCAGGAAATTCCGACCAGCATACACAGAAAAACTATGGAGGTATTCACAACAGCATAGCTTCATACAACATTTAGAAACAAAACATAGGAAGCAAATGATAATGAGAAAAACATCAACGCCAAGCAGGTGCTGCTTTTGAAGGTGTCTTTGTTTTATTCTTTGACTTAATAGACATTTGACTTGTGCTCAAGGATGTCTCATGATTCTATAAAAAAAGGACATCAGTTAGTTGTGATCTGTGACATATTTATCAACGGAATACAGTAAGAAATTACTGGTTTGCAATGCGTCTGTTCCATACTTCCTCTACAGTTAAGTATATATGAGGAGCCATGACTACTCTTGAAAATAAAGGACAAATGCAAGACTATTACAAGCTACAGCTTTTTAATATTAATGTGAACTAGGCCCATGCTCTGTACCTCATCCAATGTTTAACAAAGTTTCAGCTCCTCTGTATTTAAACTATACACAAATTAGACATGCCAAGATTTTAACTCCATGCTAGATTGCTCTATAATTCAAGTAATTCCTTGAGTGTAATGAGCTTGAGCTAAAAATGATATTTACCTTTTGTTGCGATTGAGCTAAGTATGATAAAAGTTTCTCTGCAGCTTGTTGTGTATTACCATTCATATATGATCCAAGCATGCGTGATACATCACTCAACTGAATTAAAAATGAACCAAAAAATTAGAGTGATCTTTCTTCTCTTCTTTTGAAGGTATGAAATGAAATGGTTGTTGAAGTTAGGGGTGATGCACATTTGTGTGGCAAACTTATTATGTTTTCGAGTAAGGGATAACTTTGTGCAAGAGGATAACTGTCAAATGGTGCCTTTATCAGATATGTTTTCTCCCACCATCTGGGTCTGAGTACACATACCTGCTTTTGAGTAACTTTCCCAAAGGATTTAGTTGATGTTTCCAGATCTTTCATTGATAACTGCGGTGGAATTTTTTTTGGAGATTTAGTAACTAAATTGTTGGCTTGTTTTGGAAGGTTATTGAACTGCTGTGGCCTCATTCCATTTGTCATTTTAACTTGCTGAAAAGCACTACCAGTGTTAGATGAGGACCTGTTGAAAATAAAGTATAACAACTCATCAAATTATGTCCAATCACCTGGTGACCAATCTGACATACCTAAATCCTATAAAAAAATCCTAAGATCGATAAGTAACAATACAAACATTCTCAAATGAGATTAGACCTAAACTCACTTACAAGCAACTAAGCTGATAGCACTTCTACATAAAAGTTACCTTTGAGGCATTCTCAATTCAGAATCGATCATTTGTTTCTGAGGAGATTTTTGGGTCTTAGTCTTTTCAACAGGTATCAAATCTGGCGACGGTTCAGCTGAAACATATTATTCAACAGTATATGAACATACATTGAAATAAATATATAATACTTACTAACAAATTAACAATACAAATCTGCAATAGCTTACATGATCATAAATATGTTCAATAGTAGGTACAAAAATAGTAACACTATTCATAGGTGAATATAACTTGTATTTTTTTAAAGTTCGCTCAAAACAAAGGAAACAAGGGCTATTGCCTTTAGCTAAAAGTGGAAAAAGTACTGTCAGAACAGTAGTTACTACAGATATTAGAAATCGCTGCTTACTTTTTAATTGCTTGTTCAAAAAGTTGATAACATCCATAGCCATTTCAGAAGTAACTCTAGTAGGTTGAATGAAGTCATCATCATCATCATTTTCCTTATTTTCATCTATAGTATTTTGTGATTGATTGGGAATGACAATAGGAGATAATGTAGATATTGCAGGAGGTGGTACTGGTTGTAAAGGTGCGGTAACAGGATGAGGGGCATCAATGGGTTCCCCAGGAGATTTATCCAAAAGCTGGAAAAAATGAAATATCAGGGTGTAAAAACACTATTTCCCAGAGAAGCATCCAAGCATATTACTACTATTTGACATGACCAAAGTGGAAAAACCAATGTAGGTTTATATTCCATGTTCTAAAATAATGTAGTAAAAAGAATAATATGTTGAAAATCTGTTATTTTTTAATTGTCACAAAATGCTTAGTTGATGAGAATTCTTTCATATTGAAGTACTGGAAATTTAAAATTGATTGATCATTCAGTATCCAGTAACATACCATTTTTATATAATGCTGTAAATATTGATTTCTGTCTCCTTCTTGTGATACGCTTGGTGATATTGTGTTTTCACCACCCACTGGTAAAATTTGTGCAGGTGTCATGCTAATGAATAACAAAATACTTGGTTTAGTGTTATAAGATGCACCCCCAATCAGGTGCATTTGAATTCTTATAAATTCTTATGATAACTCATGATCCACTAATGCCATTGTATATTATAACATTAGATACACAGATAAATGATAGGTTTATGTTGCTAGAGAATGCAAAAGTTTTCAAAGAAATTGACCCCATTTCACAAATTAAAGAAAACTTGAGGCATATCTAAAAATTTAATCTTCACATTTTGATCTACTTCGAAATCTAAATTGTACATAAATTAAACTTACGACACTCCCATAGGTAAGTTGACTTCAGTTTCAAAAGTATTCTGTGTTATATGCTGCACAGACCGAGTTGGTTCCTTATAACTTAATTGAGGATGTTGTTCATTTTGAGCTTCTGTTGTCCTTGTTTCCATTATATTTCTTGCAGTTGCACTGAAAAAAAACAAGGGGTGCTATGTGAATAAGACATATTGTATCAAATAGCAAATATAGATATGCACGAAGGTTGAATTTTTCCAAAATTATTATATTTATATGAAACTAATTCACACCCTTTTTCCCAATTAGAACCATGTACAAGCATCTACTGATATCTGAAGTCATGTCAGCGGCTACTATATTCTGAAGAACTGGAATCTTTCTTGCTCGCCATCGCCCACCCAATTTGTTACACCTTAGGAGGTTATGTTGTAAGCATAGGATTTGAACTTGAGATATCACATATTTAAAGGTTTTTAAAATGATAAAGCTACAATTATAGATAACTATGCTTGGGTATAATAATCATACAATAGCACAAACTGAAGTCAGAACTCGGTTCTAGGAAAATTCACCACAGAAAATTCCGCCATAGGAAAACCCGGCGTATGAAAAATCGCCGTATTTAAAAAGATTCATTCTAAGAGTCCTACCTAACTGTTTTAATCACGAGTACTTGTTTCACAGCAAAATGCTTTTGCGATTTTTCCTATGCGGCGAAATTTCCTACGGCAAATTTTTTGGACACGGGGCCTAACATCTCACAGAGAATATCAAAAATTGGCTACTCTTTTTCATTTGTAAACTTTGAGAATATCATGCTACGACTTATACCATATAAATTATTTTCTGTTTTCAATTTTACATGATGTTACTCACTTCTTAGATGTTCCATTTATGATTGAAGAACGAAATGATTCCATGTGATCTCCATTTACTAAAATACAACAATATTACTGTTTTAACATTTGGTAAATGAAATCTGAATATACAAAGGTATGTCATTGGTGTGAATGGCCCCATTCCAGCTTAAACCGCTGGAATAACGTAGTGAAAAACAAATTCACTCAAATAACTAGTTGCAAAAGACCGAGAAGATTTGTTTGTACACTAGGAGATGGACATTTCAATTAATCAGAATTGTTTGATAATGAATCAGGTCAATTACCCTATAGGCTATTACAATAAAAAAACTGGCAAAATTTTTTGAAATATTTATCTACTTACATGTTTCACGTATAAAATCTATTACATTTTTAAATAGATAATTGAATCTAAACACAAAAACAATGACTATAATCATATGACAATACTATTTGAAATATGTTTATACTGTTCAAGCGATTCTATAATCATCTACCAGATTTTATTTCAAAGAGATAGAAATTACCTTTGCTTTTGATCATACTGTAACAACCTGTCATACTGTATACCAACCTGTAGCACTTGGAATGAATTCTGACATGTTCTGCTTCTGAGACTGGTTAATTGTCATAGGTGCTTGATATGCAGAAAATGAGGTAGGCAGACGAGATGAAACAAATGGATAACTGGAGGTATTACTCAGAATTGAATTGGTGGCTTTACTATGACTATCCTTAGTCGGCTCCAGCAGGTTTCCTAATTTTCTGCTGGTTCCTGTCTGCCTCAATGTGTCTTGCATTGTGATATTTAAATTCTGTGAAAAGTTATCAGTTTAGATTGTAGAACAGATCATTTTGATGTAAATTCAAGTAAGCAAACTTAGTATACACACTGAAATGTCATGCAATGTGCTCCCAGGTAAATATGTTGAACTTCTCATATCTTGAAGCATATTTGAAAGAGTACCAGATCGTATTGGTCGCATCGGTGTATTACCAGTTGTGTTTCCGACTACCTGCAATATTATAAAAATATAAATGACCAACATGACAAAATTGATTTTATGTGTCATCAATAATAAGGTGATATTGGTCATTGTCATTCACCTGGCTAGAGTAGCAATGTTTATTCGTAAAAATTGGACTCTTTCTTCAGAGCCGTGTTTCCCAACCTAATGAAAATTTTCTTAAAACGTTTGTATTTTGAAAAAAATCTGAAAGTTACTGATTTTATTTTGTAGTAAATTTTGTTGTTCATTTTAAATTTGGTATTGAAATTTTGCTCAATAGTAATTGTATATGTGGGAAGTATCACAGCGCAAGAACTTGACAGCATCTATTTTGCTTATTGAAGCGATGTCATGATTTCAATAACTTGCTGATGGCAGACCATCTCACTAATGCAAGTTTAAAAGTTTTGTTGAAATAAATGTTATGTAAAAATGATTGTTTTGTATTTGTAATTTAATTCTGCAGTCATGAGCGCACTTCATGTGGTTTAGTACCACATGTGAGCATATCGTTGGGCCGTGAGATTTTACAAAATTTATTTTCTGAAATGTCGCTTGAAAAAAGATTAGGAACCACTGCTCCAAACAATTAATAGTATCTGTTTTTGCATTGATGACAATATAATTTAAGGCAAGTAATAAATTATGAAAACAATTTCAAACTGACAGGTTCATCATTGACTTTTTGTCTAGAGCTTCGTTCATAGTGAAGATATAAAAATATTTCATAACAAATACCTCCAATGTCTCGTTGTAATGAGCTTGAAGTAGATTTTGCATTTTGTTGATCATTTGACGTCTGAGGTTTTCTGTTTTCTCCTTCAATCTTGACAAAAACAGCAAATGAAAAAGTAAATCAACAGAGCTTAGATGCCTGTGGTCTAATGCAAATTTTATATGTCAACAAGGCATGTTTTAAATAAATTTATATATGATTAATTATACAATACATTCGTAAACATGGATATTTTATAAAAATCATTGGCATCTGAAATGGTCTAATTGCGAATTGTGATCATGGTCAAATTATATCTTTATAATGCTTCAGCACAATTTATCTTTCGTTATATGGAATCCAAACAATTTATGAATAGAATGGAAGATTCTAGCCATACTTCACAAAATGAAATAGTAGCATAGTAATTTCTTGTTCCTAAGTGACAATCATCCATTAGGAAAAAATTCTAATCTGCAGAACATACATCTCATCAAATTTTCTTTCTTTATCTTCTAAATCCTGTTTCCATCTATGTTCTAGTTGTTCAATTCTATCTTCATACAAGCTACATTGACTTTCCAGTTCCATTTGATGACTCTTTGTTATATCCATCACCTGTATCATTTAATTGAAATACAAATTGATCTCACAGTCAATAATCCACTATAGAATGCCTGTCACAGAATTACTTGAGTTGGTCAAGTTGACTTCAAAAGCAATTTTTAGTTAAACTATACTTACTGAACCAATGATTCAGAGGTACTTCAAACAGAATAATATGTCTAACATAATAAATTTCGCCCCTCTATTCGCCACTGGGCACTGATATATTTGGTATGAACTACAACTTGTATTTCAACAACAGTAGAGGTCTACTATAATGTCCATTCCGAATCATACTTTGAAAATTCATATAGGCTATGGCTTACAATACCTATTGCCAGTATTTGAATTAGATTTCAAATCTAATGATATTCAATTTTGATCAGTCTTGATAAGGGTGTTGTGAATCTCTGAGTAGGAAGGATGCAAGAATAAAAAAATCCTAAAAATGTCAAGTCAAATAGATAGCACAATTTTTTTACAAAAATTACACTTGTATAAATAATAAAATGTCTCACATCCCATTTATGCACACCTGTTTATGATGTCCATCACGAAGTTCTTTTTCTTTATATTCAGCTTCTTCATGAAATTTTGAAAGTTTTTCTGTAACCTATGAACAGAAAATATATGCAATTTCATTTAGATATTTCTGCACTAAAATTAATAAACAGGAACAACATAACTCATGTCAATAACAAGATGTGTGGCAAAATTGGAATGGGTAATTCAGTCCACTGACCCTGAATTGTTTTACCCAAACACTGCTATTCACTTTATTATTGCTAAATTTGGAAAAATGTTTTGACACAGACGTGATCTGCAAGTCTTCTGTTCTTTTCTATTGTTTGCTATTTACACTTCAAAAAAGTTAAGGTATGTGAAAAATTTTTGTATTTCATGTCAATATATCTTTGTTGTTGGATTAACAAGGGGTACTTCTAACATTAGGTTCGACAAATAATAGACAACAGTGCAAAAACAGGTCTATTTACCAATGAATCGCAATGATGACACTTTTCATTACTTTCCAGAAAATGCAATCCTTGTGTTGTATAAAGTATTTTTCCGTGTCAACAAATCGTATTTAATAACTGACAGTACCTGTGATTACTTCATCAAATCATTATTTCTCATGTATCACAGACTCGCATGTTTAAACGTCTAATAGATTTTAGTTTAATTACAAAATATTCGAATTTTGCTGTTTGTTTTTATGTTAGATGACAATTGCGAGTTATTTCTCCATTTTTTACTTTTTATTTGTGTGCTCTTGTGGGATGGATATACGTTTAAAAAGCCATTTTCAAAATTATTGAAAAGTGTTTTATTACCAGTGTTATTACCCTGTGGAAGATCAAGGTCCATTAAACCAGTAAATAATACGTAAACGTGTTTTTATAGCTTTAAATAACGCTTATAACAAATATTCAACTTCCCATACATCTGCCGCGCATACGTGAGACACGCGACACGATATAAGTTGATTACAGTCACAAACGTTGCGGGCAGTCAAGCGCGGCGACGCGTGACTGAAAGACGGATATTAAAATGTAAACAAAGTTGCTTTTGACTTGAAAACGTTTACGCGGTAGTTTCTTGTGGAACGTTTGTTTGTGATCGCCGAAATTGCTTTGTGTTTGTTTCATTTCGTTTTTGACGAAGCAGACAACAGTTTCGCATGACAACGGAAAGCGTGAATTATAACATGAGGCAGCTCCATGTCCTACGAATACTAGCTGGTTTTATATTGGGTCTGAGCGGGAATTTTATTCACCAGATGATCTCGGGAACAACTTATCTAGACATTCCATCTTTAAAAAGCGCTCAATATGGTTGTTCACCTTGTGAAGACCCTAATAAAATACGAGCAAAGCCGTGTCCGTATTGCGGCCCCCAGAAAATGACAATGGAGAATGATGGAAACATTATTGACGCTTACAAACCAAAAGGAATGTATGAAATAACAAGATGGTATTATTTTGATGAGGCCTATTTATATGACATCATAAACGATGAACCAAAAGTAAAGTTAGCTGGAAGTTATTATGAAGAAACTCAAGCGGTTACACAGGTCGCATTGGAATATATCAATGCTAACAATATGTTAGGCAAGAAGTGGCATCTTGTGGGAATAGAAAATGGCTATATGCGGACTGATGTTTTTCGTGGTACAGACTATATATTGGATGTTGCAGTGAAGTCGGTGGAAAAGTACGAGTCAGAATCAATACATACAACTTTCAGGGTGAGAATGGTGCACGCTTTTCAAGAAAAAGGCAGCAGTCTGAAAGTGACATCTCAGCACGTTGAACCAAATATTGGAATACATATTATTGCTCCAGTGTCAGGGGTATGTATGTTTTTTGCAAGGACATATTGCAAAGAATGAAATATATTGTTATTAGGCGTAATGACACTGTATGCAGTGGAAAACATATCCGTGATTTCGTGGGGAGCCATTTTTTATAATAAATAAAAATTTGTTATATTACGATAAGGTAATATGATGTCATATTCTGTATTTCACACAATGTAAAATACCTAGTGTGAGGTCATATTGGTTGCATGTGATTTACATTATGATGTCACATAGGTAGGTCTTTTCATATATCTATGAAACCTATTATGATGTCAGAAATGGATTTTTTTTTCATTTGCATCAAATAAAAAATTACAGTTTTTTAATCTTGACATTTATATTGGAAATTACAAAATTAATATAGTAATATTTATTTTTCTCAGGATGACATGGCCCTGGAGAACTTTGTAAAAATCTTTGCAGAAAAACGATCAACCAGAGATAAGTTGACACTGGTTTTGTTCAATGGTAAAGGACATTTTGGAGATCAAAGCATAACCTTGAAACCAAAAGTGGACGAACTAATCAATCAATTCCCAAATTCTATGATAAATGTCATTGAAGCAGAAGGTCAGTATCTTTTTAACAGTGACCTTAAATATTGCATATTAAATTCTTAAGCTGGAAACATTAACCAGAAGTCAGAACCCTGTGCTGGTGGTGTAAATATGACATATACAAATAACTTGGCAACTCGCATGGCTAAATACATCACAATAAATAACCTCCAAAATATTGGTCAATGGGTTACTGGAAAGAGCTATTTTGTGTACTTGTTGTATCATTTGTTACTTTTTTTTTAGGGGATTACAATTTTTTGGTGGGAATCAAAGAAGCAGCAAGAGGAGTCGACAATAATGACATAATTCTGACACTCAACATCGACATGCATTTCGGACAAGATTTATTGAAAACATGCAAACTGATATCCACACCACAAAAGAGGGTATATTTTCCTATAGCATTCAGTCAGTACGACCCTGAAATAATTGAAAGGGGTATGCCACCAGGAAAACCAAAGAACATAAACAAAATGGACATAAACAAATTTACCGGTTATTGGATGCACAAGAAACACAACTTCATATGTGCATATAAAGAAGATTTAACCAAAATTGTAGACGGGGTTTTGGTATCGATTGAAAGTGCACAAACTACGGATCCTTCAAAAGAAGGAGGCACAGATATATACAACTCCTTTCTTTCGGATAATGTTGAAGTCATCTCTGCGGTTGAACCTGATCTAATTCGTATTTATAGACAAAGAAGTTGTGATAGACGTTTTATGGTTGATGAGGAATATAATTATTGTTTCAAAACAGCAGCAGAAATGTTAGGATCTAAGCCAACTTTAAGTATATTATATTTAACTGAAATAGCTTTGAAAAAGGTTTAACTTGTTATTTAATATAATAAGACAGTCAGAAATCACAAACTGTGCAGAGTAATCATCTCGAAGCGCAAGGAAATATGTGGTGTTTTGAAGAAGTTTTATTTATATACCATTTCATCATGGTAGATTAATTCAATTCTGTGTAACAAGTTATCAAGACTTAAATTTAGATTTTCATCAACCAGCGAATCGCCTCTTTTCAGCTATCTTCATTACTTTTTTGAGTGTACTGTATGTGAAACAAAATGACCACTGTAGCTATGAAGTGATCTTCAAGATACCTTTTATTTATTATATTTATCAAGAAAAGTTTGAATATAGCCTATTATGCTGAACAATGAATTTTTATATGGCTAATGATTAACCACAAATCCGTTGAACAATGCGGAAGATAAACAAATCGGTAAACCATTAAATATGTATGGCATGCTTTATAAAAATGAGCATTGTAGTATTGAACTAAAAATGATGAATTCAAATATTATTAGATGCCATATCCTTCAGTTAATTGATGTTCATTTTCTCTGTACCATTTCAATAAAGATCATAGTCCATAACATTAGTTTTTAGGTCTTGAAAAGCCCTTATTCTGGTGAGAAATTACCGGTAATTGTTAAACTACTTTTCACATTATCAGTAATCTGTTATTTATTTGTGATTCAGTACCAGGCAAACTTTTATTCAATCATATATTTTATTCTGCTTTTTTAATAATATGGCCATTTACACGTAATGTCTGGCTATTTTGTATAATGTAATTCTGGCTGGAATGTTAAGTTTGTATGGATAAGAAAGTAGGAAAAGTTTTGCACTAAATATTATTACAGTGGCAGACTTGTCAAATGGTACTTTGAAAAAATTATTTCAAAAGTGAAATATCAGAAATATGCACAAGCAGGTGGGAGAATTTATCACAACATAATAATTAACATGAAGCAAAGAATTTGAATCGACTTTCCTCAGAGGATTATGAAACTATGGATACTGCTTGGAAAAATGAAAGCACTTTCTCCATCGATGAATTGCTAAATATCACACATTTGTGCAAATCAATGTTTGTATGAATTGAAGTAAACCAGTACCATTAATATAGCAATAGGCAGAAAAGCAAGTCACAAAAATTAAAAAGCAGTTTTGTAGTTGAGTACAGGTACATAAAATTCTTTTCTAAAACTCCTGCTTGCGAGTCTAACGAAAATGTTCAATTGATCAACCAGTAACAGCAGTGATTTGTGACAAAATAAAATCAGATAATAATGCAGAAATACCCATTTCTGCCTTTTTCAAGCATCTTAAAACCTCATACTCTGGTATTAACAATGTATGGCTATCAATTGAGTATTCACTTACACAAATTCTCAGATTATACATCAGAATCATTCCAAATGATATGTTGTCAGACTTCTTATCCTACTGTATATCAAGTCGCAAAACAAACTCATCTATGATCTCTATAAAAATTGCATTACAAATATATTCAATTTTGTTCCCTGTGGAAATGTGATTTTCATGACAAATTCACCTAATTTTCTGCTAATGTCATTGTTTATGTGACATAAAATTTTAGATTTGTTATGCTATGGTTCTGAACAATTTGTAACTAAGATAAACATAGCAGTGGTACGAACATAATATGAAACTGCCAATATCCAACCGAGATAGCGATCAGAGACTGCCGACTTATCGATCTAGCATTGTGCATCCTCCATAGCGACACTGCGTGGCCCATCACTAATTAATTAATAACTCGCTAATTATATGACATAATTCATCCAAAATCAATAGGCTCCTGGTCCGAGTTATGATGAATGCACATGCAAAATTTGGAGCAGATTAATCCTCGCTTCCGTGAGATATCGCGTAACATACGAAAGTGTCTAACAGACAGACAGACAAATACCAATCAACATACTTACCGATCAAGATCGATAAGTAATAAGCCAGTTCGAAAATAAAATTGATACAAGTATCATATCCATATGGCACAATTACTACTGCATTTACTCTGAGTGCCTTGGCCGAGTACTCGGAGTTATGGGGCTAACTCAACAAGTGTTATTAAAGATCTCAAGTCTCTTAAAATGGTTGAGCCATCTGTGCCTGAAATTTCCGAATTGTTGTCTAAAGACTCTTGAGCAGGGGTGTGCAACAGGCGGCAACCATTTAGTGTTGCCCTTGTACCATGAAATCCCAATATGATAGTTTATGTTTAGAAAGCTAATGTGGGAAAAAACAACAAAATGCTCTAATGTCCGGATAAAATATTTTGCTGTTTTGCTCGGTGCCTTTATTACTGGAAAAGTAAGCGATAGTCACTTTCTCTTTTCTTGCAGCGCTCTGGTTGTCACTAATTTTTTAATTCGTTGTGTACATGGAAAAACTAATTTTTTGCGCGGTCCAGCTAGATGCCTGAGGCCGCCCTGATTTTGGTTATATGGCCCCCCAACGAAAAATCTTGTTCTGCGAGCTCCCCATCTCAACCATGAGAAGGTAAATAAATGTGTTGGGTAAACTTGAATATGATTGACTATTATAGTCCCCAAATGAAAACTTTCAGATATGACAAACCGCCACTTACAATAAATGAGATACAAGGTAGGAATTCCTGCATGACGTAAAATACCCAACCTAATATCATGTGGAACCTGGGATTACTAGCATGCACTCGTAAATATGATTGGAAATATAGTTCCGAATTATTTTAAATATAAGATGCAACCTTTGAAAGATCATTACGACCTCTATATTATAGCTTCACCACTCACAAAGCATTCACTGCACGCTGATCCTGCATATATGACTTTCGGAAATGGCTTCATGGCCGCAGAAAACCAGGACATTGATCCATGAAATTTTTTTGGGTGAAGCGTTTTCTCACCTATACTATTATACCGACACCTTTTGTTATGTCATAATCAATATATGATTAATACGTATATGCTCGTTTTGTAGCCCGGGCCCTTATTCAAGCACGGGCGCTTGTTATTTTTAGAGTAAAATTATACACAAAAATATATTAAAAAAACATATATATATAGATAAGATCGATCTTTACAATAATTCATATATTGTTATTTCCAGTTCTCAAGTATGATTTGAACGAGAATAACAAAAATTTTGACTTTTTCTACGCACCCCAGGTACAATTCCGCAAAAAAAGAAAAGTTTTGCGACACCCTATCAATATTGAAACAACGCACTTGGGCGTCGCGACGCCCAGTTTGAGCGGTTTGAGAACCACGGTGTCACATGATCAATGCTATTTGTTGTGTAATTGGACGCCTAAGGCGTGAGGGTTATCTACCAGCGCTTCTTATTTTCTATTGTTCTCCACCACTGAAAAATCAGCTTTTACATCAGGCGGGTATTCAAGCACCGACCCTTATTTAATATTATGTTCAGTTCACACGGGCGGCTATTCAAACGGGCCCTTAACCTAATGACCCCTGGTGTTCCTGGGTCATTTTGACACCCCTCTATAATTTTTTAATATTTCACCAACCAAAAATGCTAAAGACATCATTAATGTGTCCCTAAAAAGCTTATTTTCGTCGCTTTCCACTAAAACGCGCCCACATTACGTAGCGTAAATGCGTCCGACCATATGCCAGTAAGAAGAGAGAAATTTCAAAAAATTTCGAGAAAAAGTTTCTCACTTTTAACGCTGTGGTCAACACGTGATTGATATGCGAGAGAAAGAGTTTTCCTTTGGACGAGTTTTACGTCACCTTCAAAATAAAACAAAAGTGGGATTTGTAAGTGAAATTCGTTTTATCGAAGAGCATTTGATCGCGTGCTGTCTGGTATCTTTGTTTGTTTATTATGAGCCGGAGAACGTTGCTCGCGCGTTCAAAATACTTAGTTTTCAACTAACAACAGATATTTGTTTATTTTTATGCTTTGAAATACTCATACAAATAAATTTGACCTTGTTGCAAAATAAAAATTATACATAAAAAAAATATGATGACGTCACCGTAATTGAGAACACTCGGATCAAGCATGGATAATTTAAACTCAAACATTTTGAGTTTTGAAATTGGTTTTGTTCACATGCAGACCACTATGAAATATTATTGACCCCTCAAAATAGATTTAATTTAGCCATAATCCCAAATTATGACACAGATCTGCCATTCATGACCAGGCCGATCCTAGAGAGTCAAGATCGGGCGGTAAAACGAGTATATACGGTATGTCAATTTAACATTTACCATTAGCTGCACTTGCCTGTACAGTCTTTAAACTATTCAAAATGCAGAAAAATTTTCCAATAATTTGAATATCACTGAGCTGAATCAAATCAAGGTTTGTCCAATCCGCATAGTCCCGGTTTTTTGTTTCATATATATGGTAAGTCTAATCCAAGTCCAAAACATTCCTACCTTTTTCTCCATTTCAATCTGATGTTCTGCTTCCATTTTACGAAGAGCAGCAGAATATTTGGTTTCTTCCACCGAACCCTGCATTTTTAAACTATCGATGGTTTGTCGAAGTGACCCCATTAGATCTTCAAGTCTTGTAACTTCTTGTTGCGTTGTAGACAACATCTTCTGTAAATCATTATTTCGACTTTTCTCTTGATCATATTTTGCCTGAAATGAAAATGAGAACAATAATTTATCACTAAACGTAATCTTTTTTATACATCATTTCTTCATGTATTTCACCCCGAAGAAGGCTCCGTACAATCAGATACTAACATGTAAATGCTAGTTTCTTAAAAGGACTAGAATAATTTCGGTTAACAGTGCCTTTTATTTCGCGCAGAGTGAAATGGAGGGCATGCTATTTTGAAGCCAAAGCTTATATCAGCTTGGCTCAGAAAAAAGCATTTCAAATAATATAAGCAGTGAATTGAGACTTTTATCATTAATGTCATTGGAAATTGGTACGTGCATAGTTATTTTTTGTTTTTGTTTTTCTAACTACAACCTGATGATGCTTTTCTGTATGAACATTTGATTCTCACCAAATTAATAACATTATTAACACGAGTTACTCCATCTGCAAGAACTCAGGGGAGCGTGATAGCCTAGAAGTTAAAGCGTTGGACTCAACTGTGCTGGCATCGCAAATGACAAATCTTGAATTTGAGTGCCACACCTGGGTAGGCAATGCCGAATCAGGAATATTTCGGTCCTTCCAAATGATAAAAAGATCTTCCTACATATTTAGAGATATCAGTGGCTGCTTCTATAGCGCCTTGTTCATGTTCAGGCGTTAATAAGTGGCATATAAAAAACCAAAGGCGTGCAATATAAAAAAAATATGAATATGCCTTAAATGGAAGTTTCACGATTCTACAATAAATCATCACTCATACACATATGCACGTAATTGCAACGTATGCAATATGAATCACCTTTTCATCAAACCGTCAAAAATTTGCAAAATAGAAAGTTATATGCAAGCTATATTTGAAAGCTGGCAACATGGACATCTGTATTATGTATTATATTTTAATAACATTAAGTATTTTTAGAAATTTAGCAGAATGTATAGAAACAGGAAACAAAACAGAGGATGATGTTTTTCCTAGCTCGCCACCAGTAATATGCCCGCCAGCATGTCTTAGTGATGATCACCCATGTAAATGTTACAGTGATGGTTGGATAGATTGTAATGGGAAAAACCTTACAAGTATTCCAGTTTTACCACCATGCTCGAGACTGATAAATCTACAAGGAAATAACATCACATCTATAGGTTGGTAACAAACTAATGATTCTAGTTACCGTAAGTAAGGGGTATGATGTACACATGGTACAACTTTTAGGTACCGTATTATTAAAATTATAAATTGGTTGATGCTGAGATTGGATTATTTTGGCATTTAAGATCATGATTTGAAGTTGAATTAATTTTGAATACTCTTCCATTTCGCAAAAAAATTAACCCAAGTAATATATAATCGAGATTTCGCTTTTTAATCATATGAATTTTTGGAAAACGCAATTGCGGTATGCATTGATTTTTCATTTCTTTCCTTGAGTATTCTTTAATATTTATTATTGATATATAGAATACAAAAGCGTATTTAAAAATGACAGTTTATTGTATGTACCTAAGTTGTGTTTTATAATTATGTCCATGCCAAATTTTATTTATTTATTAATATTATACAAGAAAATTGTCATGTATTGCATCATATTTCATTAATATAGGAGGAGATGGCATTTCAGGATCCAAATTTCACACAATTATTCATATTTTTACAGATCAAGTTGACTTTTCAGAAACAATAGATACTCAAATCATTGATCTTTCATACAATAAAATTACCGAGCTTCGGTCAGGAATTTTTATACAGTTAAAAGGTATTTACACTTTGAGCATAAATCTATGAATATTTTATCCTAATTTATGGTTACTCTAAAGGAGTTGTAGGGACCTAACCCCATTCTTTCGTAATTACAGCATTAAAAGCTTTAACGCTCCACCGTAATTCCATAGTACACATCAGTGATTGTGCTTTCTATGGATTAACTGCACTGACGTCATTAGATTTGTCACGAAACAATATAACGGTCATACCGTCAACAGCTTTTGATGACAACACAGCTTTGAGAGAAATAACATTGTATGAAAATAAACTGAGTGACCTCAGCCTGAGGTGAGAAAGTTACCTAGAATTTGATACTAGTCATATATATGACATACCTTTTCAAATTTAAACACTATTATTCTCAAGCAAATAATCACCTTTTCACGAATTATTCCAAACTTTCTAAGATATTTTGGATTTGAAGCTTTAAACCTAAATTAATCCACTCTCTAAGCCAGTGCTTCTCAACCATTTTTCAAGTGACCCAAATTTTCTAAAAATTAAATTTTGTAAATTTCGCTACCGAAGTATATGCTCAGATACTAAATAGCATGGAGTATTTTCATGGTCGCAAAACGACTAATGAAAGTGAAAAAGCTGTGCTAGTTTGCCCTCAGCAACGCTTTACTTGAGCAAAACAATATAAACGCTGTAATATTTCCCTTTGTAGACATTTACTATTCAGCAACACTTCAATACCAAATATAAAATGATAGGTTTTTGTTGAAAAAATAAGCAACCCAAGTAACTTTCTGGCGACCCAGCTATTGGTCGCGACCCATAGTTTGGGAAACACTGCTCTAAGTCACACCACTTGAAATATTACAAAAAAAAGTTCAAGTCAATATAGATCAAAGATATTTATAATGATAAAAAGCAAATTTCTAGATGGTTCGAAAACAAGACATCATTGGAGACAGTGGCACTGGGACAAAATACTTGGAATTGCAGTTGTGAATTAAGAAAATCGTATGACACAATAGTCAACACCTCTGGGATTCAGGTTTGTTCAAACAGGGAATCCCAACCCTAATACCCTTGTTTACCACTTGGCCGATTTTAACCGGAATTTTCATCCTAAATATTACTTATGAAAATATGACAAAAGTGTCTCAATCTGCTTTGGGCCAGGGCAACATCCACATTTCCCAGTTCCCGGTTGAGTACTCCAGGTCAAAATGAGCTCTAAAACAATTTGCAATTGCTTAAATATACATTAAATATATTTGAAGATTTCAGATAATACATGCATTGATTTTTACAGGTTGATTGCCAAGATAATACAGACACAATCTTCAGTTCAATGTGCATACGATGTTCCAGTCCATATTATATGCGTGGATTCACTCTTTATAATATTACAAAAGAAAATTTGACGAGTTGTGATGAAAACATTACCAGCAGTGTTAATAATATTCAAGGTAAGGCGTCTTTTTAGATACTCCACCTTTGTGAGGTTATTTATTGCAGGTTTATTTTTAAACAAATAGAATAATTGAAGACATCTGAATACTTTGACATTCTAGAATTCTTCTTGCCAAACGACCTCATTGGTCAATGTTTTGCTACAAAGTCAATTGACAAATATCAAAACTAGCAAATTCATTCACTGTTTTATTTTTGTGGGGGCGATGGCTTAGTTGTGGAAACTGTATGGGCATTTTAGGTTACATAGGTTGGGTTAAAATCCTGCGGTGCAAAGAATTGAGTAGGCAATGTCGAATCAACCATTATAAATTCAAGTTCTAAAATTAATAGATCAATACACCTTACATCCTTTGATATCAGTGATTACTTGTAAAGAGCCTTATTCAGATCGAAATGCGTGAATAAATACCTATAGAAAAATCCATAAAAAGTTTAATTGATTTTAACTAACCTCTTTAAGACAACTGCAAACATAATTATAATTCATATTTCATATATTAATGTAACCTGAATATTTATTTCAATTCAGAAATACCAACTTGTGAAAACGTCATCCCAGTAACAAGGCAAAAACTAATGAACACGAGTGAAGCAACCATGACAACAGTGACAACACCATTACTAACAACGACAAGAAATTTCAACCTGAGCTCAACGACAGAATCGGCTTTAAAAAACACCACAATCTTAATCTCAGAATCCAGCACAAAACGACCCCACATGAAAAATTCATCAATGGATTCATGGGTCGTTGTCTTAATCGTTATTGTTGTTTTGATCCTGATTAGTTTTATCGCAACTTCTATATGGTGCAATGACAGAAAAAGAAGGAAATTACTAAGGAGAAAGTCCTATGGCACAGAAGAAACAACATTGTGATATCACCTGTGTCTAGAGATGGCCAGAATCGAATTATACTATAATATAGTATATTATATTATATCATGTTCGATGGAAAATTTAAGGAAAAATTGTAAACTCATAGAAATGCAGAATAATTGAGATAAACAATGTTTTTCTATACTTTTACGATGCCATAAATAAAAAAGAATTTTCTAGAAAGAAATTTGCTCAAAGCAAAGTCATGCGACTGAAGTGCCAAAATGTTAAGATCTTGAAATTACAAATGAAAACAATTCTCGAAATTTTTTGGAAAATTGGGAATTTAATATCTAATATAAACAATTAAATACTCCTGCATTCAATATAAAACTTGATTAAACAATAAAGAATCACCAAAATCAAATGTTTGAGAACAACTATCTATACCTCATGAGTGTAATTATCGAATTTATGTCGATTATTATGATGTCCATTGTCCAGTAAATGTTGTGTACAGAAGAGCTTCCCAAACTAGGGGACAAATTTTAGGGACAGCAAAGAGTACACCAATTTTAAACAAAGTACTATATCTGTTGTACTTTTTTAGACTCTTGATTCGAAACACAATTATCAAAACCAAAATCTCACGATTCCGAGTGAATACATCATTATATCCTGTTTCCCCGAAAATATGACTTTCTTTCAATTTTCTTTTAAAAAAGAACACCAGGGCTTATTTTGGGGGGATGCCTTTTATTTTCATTTTTCAAAAACAAAATTACAAGTAGAGAATTAAGAGATTTTCAAATGTACAATATATGAAAATCGATTTCTGTTTATTTATAAATAACACGTTTGTATTTAAAATAACTGTTTAACATAGATTACCCATACCCATCATACCCATTTGAAACGAGTAGGAAAGATTTCTTGCTACCAACTACCGACTAAGCAAAAAAAATTCGGCGTTATTGACTTGGTCTTATTTTAAGGGGAGGGCTTATATTGAAATCATTTTTAAAATTCAGGCTAGCTCTTATTTTCGGGGAAACACGGTAAATTCATCGCGCTCGCATAACAATGCCTTTAATTGTTAAGCCAGCGGTTCCCAAAGGCAGTTTGCTGAGTCTGAGTGTGCCTCAAAAATTAAGAAATTGGTTTTAAATAATAACTAATGTATTGTTGAATATTTAACATATTTCATTTATTCTAAATGTTTGGTTTCCTATTGTTGTAAATGATGTGTATATGAATCAATAAACTCATTTTATTTTAGTATGTTGTGTACTTTCTGTTATGTTGGGTCTATTGTTACGCAACAGTCGAGGTTAATCCCATTTTGTAATTTTGTGGGCCGCAGTTTATTCTTTCGATGAACTGAGTTCAGCAAACATGAGTGATTTTTTTTAGCATTTTAAAGGAAAACCAGGCAGAGATAAGGAAGAGAAGTTAACCTTTTGCCTTGATTTTAAGCCTTAAATGTTTATATAATTTAAAAGGCATAAAGTATACATTAACGATAACAAAATTGTGTTTTATTTGAAGGCAGCATTTTTTTCGTGTAGGTGCACTGTGAATTTTTTCCCTGATAATTTGGCGCCGCACGAACCGCTTGCTTATGCTAAATTTGATCATTAAGAGTAATAACAATGCCCGTTAAGGACCATGCCGTCGCTGGCAAGACGTCATATTTCATTATCATTGAGGCCTGCATTAACAAACATTGAGCTGAGCCACTACTGGACTTGCTATGCAGCAAAAATCATTCGCACCCATCACACTGAATAATTGAGTAACAGGAATCTAAGTAAATATGTTTTTGTTATCGAGTGGGCCTACTAAATGTTAAGAATTAACTGTGTCATTAATAAATCAAATATGCATATTTCGAACTGTCCAGCATTAATAACATGAACAGGAGCCGCGAAAATTTTCAATATATTGAAAGGGCCGCAAGCTCAAAAGTTTGAGAAGCCCTGGTGTACAGTACAGTTATATACGATATTTGTTATTTTATATATTTCATTTTCCAATAAAATCAATTGTTTAATTAGTGATTTGCAACCTTTATCATCAGCAATTTTATTTTTGAAAAATGGTTGAAACAAACTGGTGGTTGAAAACAAACTTCGATCAATCTCCTAAAATTTATTCCTTATTTGCCCACCCACAGTCAGAACTGGACATAAAATGATCAAAAATTGAACTTTGTGTGATATGTTTTAATTACAGTAAATGCATTTTAGTATGGCCATTATGCAATACATTAACCAATAAGTGGTTAAGTGGTAATGTTAAATTGAGATGGCTAGCAGAAATTGAGGAGGAGATATATGCTGAGAAAAAAAGCAAGGTATTTAGGACTTTGACAAATATAATGAAAATTCAAATTTTTTAAACATATAATTTTTAATTTTCTCGTCCGAACTTATTTCTTTTCGAACTAAAATAATAGTGACAACAAGAATGATTCAGAGCGTTAACGTCCACATTGTCATCACAGAATACGTTAATAATATCATGCAATTACGTTTCGTAATCCAGGAAATTATGCATCACTGAAATATCAAATGACGATAACGAAAGTTGAAAAAAAAATAAAGAAACATCTTTAAAAATTCATAAGAGAAACGTTAGGTGACCTGAATGTCCAACGTGTGCGTCACTTTATAAAGTATTAGAGTGAATAATAGGCAGCTTACTACATGACGAACAATGCAGACCTAAATAATAACCACCTCCATGTTAATTAAAGTTCTATCAACAATATAATAGAGCTGCTGGGAAAGGAATGATATATCTAGCATCATTCAGTTGAAATTCGAAAATATGAGAAGTACTTGTGGACTATAAACCGAAAATCATGTTTCGGTTTTTAATACTAGGCAGACAAATAGTCGAAATGTAAATTCATAAGCTTAGAAGGTTCCCAACAATAAGAGGAAATAGATTTCATAATGATTTTTGTGAGATGAAAAAAAATAAATTTGTATAAGTGTGCGACGAGACTCCTATCGCTTGGTATAGTGACCTTTACTTTAGATGTAGCATCCTTGAATTACCTGTAGATAGATTATTTATTACAAAAGCACAGAAGATAGTCAAGTGGTTAATGCTTCAGAATCCAATTGACAATTGATAGTCTTGTTACGATATTACAGATTACTCAATTTTACAATAAATTCCACTACGTCCATTAAGTTTTATTAATAAGACAGTATTATGGCAAGCAACTCGATCAACGAATACATATTCAAATTACTAGTGCTTTTTGGCATTGTACACATTACTTTGGGATCGACAGCATGTGATGTTTGTGTTTGTCAACCGACGGCGGATGCTCCATTTCTCACGTCATGTTCAAACCCCAATTTGACAACGGTTCCGGATAATATTATAAACACAACCAAGATATTTATTGCGAATGATGGAAGCATTCAAAATATAACTGCAATGGATTTTGCAGGACTAACCTTACTTGAACAACTGGAACTAAACAACAACAAGATATCTACAATTGAAGATGATTCATTCAAAGATTTAATAAGCTTGACGGTTTGTTGATTTACTTTCGTTCTTATGAAGATTTAATCAAAGCCACATCATTAGCAGAATAGGATTTCGTACTTATCTCAGAAATGAGGAAAGTCAATAAGGCTTATCCATATGGCAAAACACGATCTCATGTACGGTTTCCAGTCAGGTACGGGAATGGTTGACCAGTTGTTTGTTTCAGATACATGGACTTGAGATTTTACTGATAAAAGAGTTATAATACTTCAGTGTCAAAAATACCGTATAGATATATTGTTGTGACATAGCTGCTTGGAACTGTTTGACAATGTGAGACTTGAAGCACTTATAAAAAAAACATTTTACCATCACAGCTATTCGGAAACAAATTTTACAATTCCCAAAAATAACATACAACTAATCTAATTTATGATTAACAAAATTTATTCTTTTTTCTAGACACTCAAGGTTGCATCCAATGCTCTCAATCAACTATCCATAGCATCATTGAATGGGCTACCTAACTTAACACATTTGGAAATAAATGTAAGTTGCAATTAAAAATTCTGGAACGAATGAAAACAATAAAAGAGCAACCCCACAAGCCTAACATAAAAATATTCTTCAGGATAACATGGTCACAACTGTTCCAGATCATGTTTGCAGCAAACTCACATCATTACAATCACTGAGTGCACAAGATAATAAAATAACGACGATCGGATCACAAGTTCTTATGGGATGTGATTCTCTTAATCACATTGATTTATCTAATAATGGCATAACTGCAATTGATGAAGATGCATTCAAGGTAATAAGTTTAGTCATTTTTTAAATTTTGAATAGAAAATAGGATTATTATTTTGACTAGCTTAATGTGGGCATGGCTGGATCCAAGCAGAAATTTTCGAGTGAAATTCGACATCATTGGTCATGTCGACAAATGTCAGCATGCCGGTCGGTCGCAGGTTAAAGATCTAACCAGAATTACCAACTTATATACTGTAACATTGAAAGATACTATATTGCCACAGGGTTTGGATAGTCTTGCTACACTGGACATCACAGGCAATAAGTTGACAGCATTTTACAGTGCATGGTTCGTGAACAAATCATCCAGTATTAATTTTAAATTTGACAACAATGCTACTTGGTACTGCAATGTACAAATGAAGGATGAATATGCCGAGATCAATAAAACTCATCCAAGTCTTCTGAGTTGCAATAATGCAAATGGGTTTTGTCCTTTGTGTGATAATTTTGGAGGTGAGGAAAATGAAGTATTTTTTAGTGTTTGCATTCATAGTAATAAGTAAATTAGGGGTTCTCGCACGGCTTGCAGGGTTCATGGGAATCTTTCTGAAGAGTACTCAGATGGCAGTTGAATTTCAATACCTTAGTATTTATAATGATAGCTGACTTACACATATGACAGTGCAATCCTGTCTTCAAATCGCAAAATTTAATTGAAAGAAACACGCATATTCTTCACTCTCATGTTTAGATGTTTCGTAAACATTCTTTGTAATAATATTTAATATTGTTGATCGATAGCCCTAGTCAACATTTTACCACTTAATTAGATGTTAGCTTGCATGGGTTCAGGTAAATTGTGTTATGATTTATGAGTACTTATTATTGGTACTTGGGAGGGATATTGAGAATTTGTGATTCAAATAAAACAATTTAACTACGAAATAAGTCATTTTCACCAATACAATTGTTTATGTCAGAATTTGGTATTTTCTAGGAGTGAGACTCACGGAAATCATCATCACAGAAAGAACTGTGACTGTTTCAACCACAACAGTAAAAGGAGAAACAGAAGATCCTTCTGCTACAACTGCTTGCAATAATATGACAGCTACCTGCCCAGGATCTGGCTTCAAGAACAGACCAGATATCTTCCTTCTACTTGTAGCTATGCTTATGATAATTCTTCATCAGTAATAGACAAAAAAAACTTCGAAAAACTCACTACACCCATATGAGTTTATAATGCCAGAGCCAAGCCAAGACAGAAATTTAAACAATAAAAAATCCCAATTCACCAGTTCCCATAAATTTATTTTAATCCGAACCAATAATTTATAGCTATTGCCTATTTATTATAATAGTGTAACTTTAGAATTGACTGTAAAATTAACATTGACTTTTCTATTATTTACATTAGAATTAAATTTCTACATTCCTATTTCAGTAATATTATTTTCTGATAAATATTGTATATTATCTCACATCAATGAATTAGTAGAATACTTTATTATATTATTCACTGATTTCATGTACATCACCGTGGAAGATACTCAGTGCAATGATAATGTGTAATTTAGCACTGATAGATTTAGCAAATGTTGTTTTTTGTTAAAATTATGAAACCGGATCATAGATTTGAAGAAATTGAAAAATATTTTAGCATAGTACTCAGTAGCATAGTAGATACATTGAATGTGCATTGTATTTCATTATCATGAAATTTAGATATTTTCATATGCTGTAATTATATATTCTCGAATATATATTAGGTTGCACTTATGGTTGTGTCCTCGTGTTCCAGCAAAATCATGATATTCAGTAAACGCCATTATTTTAATATGAAAACAGTAAATTTTACACAGATAAACATTAATTAGTTGAATTCTTGAAAAAAGTCTTTCCGGACAACATTAAACTCAAACCTGAATCAGATTCAAAAATTTTTCATCAATTTAATTGTATAACCTCATATCAATTTTCTGTCCATGCTATTTCTTTGTCAAATGACAATATATCTCTTCTAATACATATTCAACAATTTTTACACTTTATAGACTGTTTACCTTATGCGATTGTATTTCTTGTTTTAGTGTCTTCTGTTGTTCAAGCATTTCCTCTGTCCACTTGTCTTTTTCATTCTTAAATAAAAGCATCAGGTAGTTAAGATTGGTGAAAGACAGATAAATCATTGGAAAAAAGGCTCGACAGATAGGCCTATTTTAGAACTGAGTAACAGACTGAGATCACCCAGAGAACTGCGTTACAAATCACTCATGTCATTGTGAATGTACTCCGTAATTCTAATTTGCCATTTCAAAAACTTATTTTTCAATATGGAATATTGAGGTTTTTTCGTTTACTATGCTTGTGAAATACCGAATAAAAAACTAGAGTTGGCAACTAGCGAACCCCAACTTAAGCTAGAGTAGTTCTTGACATGTCAGTAGTTGCTCGTACCTTAACTCAGAGATCAAGTATCCTTTATTTTTGAGTGAGTGTGCTTTGAAAAAAATTTTTTGAAAATAATAATAGCGTGGAATTTTTCAGTTTTTTGAATTCATCAATATACCATTTTAAAAGTTCACATCCGTAGGTTTTGAAAATACGAACCTCAACCTCCTCTTGCAATTGTTCCATTTTCTTTGTCAAATTATTGATATCTTCCACCATTGTTTGCTTATCATTTAGAAGTTTTTCAATTGAAGAATTTTTTTGGTCAATGACTCGAGATATTTCATGAGTCTTCATCTATTCAAATATCAAAACAAAGGTTACAACTACAAGAAGATATATTTAGCAAAAATAAGAAACTATAAATTCTTAAATGAGAAGTGAATACAAAAAGAATTCAGTAACAATACAAAAACCAAACTGCAAAAATTACATTTGTATCAAAATAGCAGAGAGCAAAATTTTCAGTCCTAAGATGACTCACTTATCTAATATCAGCTTTGAAATATTTCGGCCAGACAATAAATAAAACACACATTTAACCAGTGTTGAGTAGAAGCCCCTCAACCCAGTGTCTTGAGTCAAGTCAAGTCAGAGGTCATGCAAGCCGTGCTTCTAGTCCAGTGGTTCCTAACCTTTGTGAGCCTAACAAACCTCTATGTTAGTTTGAGAGCTTTCATCGAACCCCAAAGCGCTTTGAACAACAACAACTTTGTTGGGTAAAGGGCAACATAAATTGCAACAAGAGAACAAGTAGGCTACACATAGTTATCCAAACAGGTCTTGTTCTTGGTTTATATATTCTCCAAAAAAACTCGAAATTGCGAAGAGTTTTTCGGATAAACCTCAAACCCCCCAAGATCATTGTGGTGTAACATCAAATACCAATGCACCATGTCAAAAAGCAGGTGACTTCATGGCAGTAAAAACTTGTGCGACTGGAAAGGGTAAATACTACGAGGGCAGAAATTGCAATTTTGGAAATAATTTTTTCAACTTTCGTTCAACCCCTGTAACAGGTCACTCAAACCCCCAAACCCAGGTTGAGAAGGACTGGTTCAGTCTGGTGAAGTTGAGTCAATCACTGAGCTAATTGTCACTGGCAGTGGAGCCCAAATTTTAGTCATTTCAGACTCGAGTGTTTATCCGAAACAATGTATTTAGAATACTTCGCAAGACAAATTATTGTGAATTATACAAACCTGAAATGTTTGTTGAAGCAGTTTTTGTTCTTCTTCTTTCAATTGCAATCTTTCTTTCATTTTTTCATAATCCACAATAACATTTAATGCATCTGATTGAAGCCCATTGATCGTCTAACAAAAATAGAAAATTAATAGATATCATGAAACAATGCCATAACATGAAATAAATGTAGGCCTACTATTATTAATTATACATCTTCCTAAAAAATAAAAGCTCACTGAAAATGTGTTGGGAACATTGTCAATCAACACCAATTAACAAAAACAACCTGCCATAAATGGAAAGGAACATCAACAGCAAAAATTTTTTTTTTTAAATGATTCTTTCTCACTTCAAAAACCACATCAAAATAATACTAGTTTTGAGGGAAAACAGCAAAACACATACTTCTTCACTTTTCTCCAATTCAATTTTGAATTTTTCTTTTTCCTTAGTCAATTGTTGAACTGATTTTGTGAGCTTCTCTTCATGACCTTTCCAACCATCAACTACTTTTGCCAATGTCTAAAAACAGAAAAACCTCAGAAAATGTTTTCTTATACATTAATAATTCTGATAATTATGTTTCATACACTAAGTAGACTATGCTAAAGGAAAACATTGCCATGAATAATTAAGCTAGCACAAATTACTGAGAAGTGCTATAGTAATTATACAAAACGCTACATCATGACATTTTGTACACATCATTTAATGTCCAATATGACTAAACTACGTTTTTGAACCAAAGTTTGAATTCTTCGTTAAAATGGACTTGAATTTCTTCAATGTCTCAAGTGATATACCAATAAAATACTGAATTGTTACAGCATGTCTTGGCATTTTAACAATCGCTCGTGAAGTTTGCTCAAGTTTCCTATAATCTTGAGTGAGTTATATAGGTTGCTTTAGCCCCAACTTTTTGAACCCTTTTAAAAAGTATGCAATTATGAGTGAGAATTATTTGTATATGTGACAGTAGCCTCCTCAACATGTAAGAGACTTTGTGTCAAAATATCTGTACATTACTCTTTAAGTCCAACAAAAAACATACATACTGGTTTTTAAATTTGTTTAATAAAAAACAGGTGCTACTATAGCTTGAGGTATACTGCTATACGTCGCCTAAATTCAGCAGTCTTAGTTAGTTTTCAGGAGTGTCTTGTTCATCGTTAAAACATGATAGTGAACACAGAGTGAGGATATCAAAATAGTTTGCTTCAGCTCCCTATCATTAGAATGAGATCTATACCCAGTACTATGGCATGAAGTCTATCGTCTATTTTTCAACTTTATGAATTTCTATTGAAAATTTGTTACACTCGCCAGTAAACAGGCAGCATTTAAATGACTTATAGCAGTAGGCCCCGAGGTATAGTAGCCTCAAAAATCAAGAGTCCAGTGAATATTCAGGAATACAAAATTTTATAACAGACAACTATTGTATTTAGAAGACTTTACATTTGGATGACCGTAAATAACTAGTATAAATAATAATACCTTATCAAGTTGTTCAATCATCATGTCCTTTTTTCTTGCAACAGATTGTCCAACTGCGAGTTCCTGTTGAATTTCAAGTATTTTGTTTTGAAGTTTTTGTATTTGCTTCTCACAGTGGTTACGACGATACCTGTACATGCGATTAATGTATTGTAAATGCAATCAGAAAATTCGAAGGATATTACAGATGGCTTTAATATCACACTTTTCCCTTTTATGAGTGGTGTCAACCATATTGCGAGCAACTAGATGCAAGCATTAAATTGAAAACAGACACAGGTATATATAGATAATATATGATCCATATATTATTATAAGGTATTTCAGTTCTGATACAGATCTGTACGAGCGGCTACAGAAACATGGAATTCTACAAGGTTGAAAAATACCATATTCTTCAGATTCAGAATTCATCAGCTATAATCTACTGCAAAATGGGTGAAGCTTTGGGAATGGGTTGTGAGATAGAATGGTAAAACTTTTGCCCCAATATCTGGCACCTGTGGCTGTGACCATCAATATAGTTAGGCCAGCATTTGAAAAACAATGACAATATCAAACCTTTCTTTTTCCAATGTATCTCTTAATATTTTATTTTCAACTGTTACACTGGAATCCACAGAAGATCTTGTAGTTGTTGTTGGATGATTCGAGTTTCCACGTAATATAGAGAATATATTTGAAGTTGCATCATTGTTCATCAAGGTACCTATATCACCCGATGCTGATTCTGGACTTGAAGTAGGCGGAACAAAATCGGATGGTTGTGCACTAAAAATGAATAAATAAATGTTGGTTTACTAAAAACACATCTTGTTAGCAAAAACAATGTGGTAAATTGCTAATCTTAACGAAATCTGAGATATGAGGTCCCCCATCTGTAACATCCCATCTGTGTTAAATTAACTTTGCTGTTGTTCAAAAAATTTTTTATATGTGTATGTATGTCAATTGAACAACCTTAGTGATATTCAATTAAATATTCATATTTGACAGCATTTTGGCCCTTTATATATATCGGTCATTCCGACATAAATATTAATTGTCCGGAGTAGTCAAGCAATGAATACGAAAGAGACTCAATTTATACTGTTATATAATGAATAAATTTCACCAAAGGATTTAGTATAGTAGTAGTAGTAAATCAAAATACTTTCCTGAAGTCATTGACGATAAACAGAATATCTGTAATTAACTAATTAATATTATTAATAAATATAATAAACTCACCTCAGCAATGTTGCAGTATCAGTGCTACGAAAAGATTCGGGACCATCTCCGTCAGTTTTGGTATCCTTAGCACCAAAATACAATTTGTAATCTTCAGATATGTTCTTCGGTTCATTGTTTTCTGGTCAATACAATAAAATGATACAATTTACTACTAGATGATGGTCAACCATGTATCAATATGGCAGAATATAGCAGTTTAAACACTGTGCTTCATTCAGGGTATGATAAAATTAGGTTGGTAAATGATGTTCCGGGGGAGGGGGAAGATTTAATATGGCAGACCATGGCTTCTTTTATGGTTATTAGTCAATGGCGAAAATGGGAAAAATAAGCCAGTTATTCGTTTCAGATGCATGGAGTTGGCAGTGCAGGAAGTCAAAAACCATTCTACATAGAATCTAGATATCCTGTCGCACATAATTATGCCCCACAAGACACAAACCCGCGCAGTGTAATCGCAGATACCATGTCAAACATGTTTCTAATGCTTAAAACGATGTACCAAACACAGAGTTCCGCAAATATTGATGGATTCTTGTCTGGGCATTGTTCAAAACAAACCCAATTGAAACAAGTGTTCATAACTGATTAATAAAGTGAACTTATAAATATACAAAATCCTTTCTTCCTTCGGCTTACCCAATACTCCATCCATTTTCAACATTCCTTGCAAATGATTTCTCACCGTCTCCATACTGTCGATTGTTTGTTGGCCTTCACTTGTATATTTCACAGCAGCAGTACTTTTTGCGATGTTTTGTTTTGATAACTTTGATGATTTTGTGCTTGGTACTTTCTGAAGATATAAAAGTTTTTCTTGCCGTTAGCGAAAATATGATAAAATTCAATGCGCAATAATTTAAATGAAACAAAAGCTGAATGACTCCAACATGAATAAAAGTAAAATGTCTTCCTCTTTTTGTTTTTTTGTTTTATTCTCTCTGCGTTTCGAGTAAATGCCATAATGACATAATGGCATCATTAGCTGGTGCAACTCTCTAACTTGGATGCCAAAAACAAGTTTAAATAATATACTACTTTATCGTCTGCCGCAGTGTGTGGAATAAACAAAGAATGAGTGTGTGAGAGACACCTGAGTATTCTTTTTCGATGGAACTTTCTTCATTTGATCTCTTGCTTCATTTTTCATTGTATAAGTTTTCTTTCCAACCTCTTTTGGATTGGTCCTTCTATTTTCAATTTTCTTCTTCCTCAAATTAGGATCAGCTTTCTCATTTCTGCTCATCTTCGAGGTCTTTCCAAACATTTCAGAACCACTATAATTATAAAATACATATATACAGTAAGCGATCCTTGTTTTACGAGATGAAGTTTGAAACACCAAATATACTTCAAATAAATTTCAATTTGGATATTTATTTTTGTAATGCATGACATATTGTACGAAAAAAAATAAAATATTAAATAAATTGACAAGACTGACAATATTTCTGATATCAATCAGGTTTCAGCTAAACCAACTACTTTTCCTTTTTTGCAATTGGATTCGTATGCATATAATACTGGGATTAAAGATAATTATTCTCAGTGATTCAAGAGTTTTGTTGCACACATCACGAGAAACATCACAAAATATTTCAACTGCAATTTACGATGATTTGATCGTATAATTACAGCAAATGCTCTGAATAATGACAGCACAGAATACTGGTACTCATGACATATGACACATTCAAATTTATAAACTTTAAGTTTATTCTTTATGGAAACGCCCTAAGCAGGATTTGATTAAAGCAGATGCTAACTTCGTTCTAGTGAAATTATATTGAGTATTTAGTGTATTAACACTATTAACGATGAATATCAAATTGAAGAATAAGGACATTTTGAATATATCAAATATATGATTGAAAGTACAAAAGTATGGATTCAACGATTTGCTATGTGTAAGTGTAAGTTAAAAAAATACCTCGGTTTGACATTGCCATTAGAAATTGCTTGTCTTGGTTGTTTTCTTTGTTCCTTAATTCCGCTTTGAAGAGAGAACAAAGATGACAATGGATCTCCAGATATACTTGTTTCCATTTTTTTCATAAAATCAAACAACTTCTGTCTCTCTTCTTCATTTGAAGGAATTCTGAGAGAATCAAGCATAAAATTGTCATTACTTGAAGTATATTTTAAGTCAGTCTGAGGTGAAGACAATTTTTCCATATTCATCTGATGACTCAAGTTTCTTCGTGCAGGAGAAGTCGTAGAAACTGTTGAGGAAACGTCTCTTTTTTTTGGAGGAGTGTGAAATGAAATCCTTAATTCTGATTGAAAATCACCTTCACCTGGTGTGACTTCGTCATCAAATCTAACTTTAAACTTTGATGGAGACGTGGAGTATCTATCAGATGGTGATTTACTGCTCATGAGAATAGAATCGTTTTTCTTAGGACCAGGTGAAATTGACTGCATAGCTTGTTTCTCTTTCTTAAGACTTGTTGCAAGAGATTCCTGCAAATGCTTCGTTATTTCCTGAGCAGCTGATGTAAATGATCCTGAATCAGCCGTAATGACAGGAGATGAATAACTTGAAAGAGGTTTCACAGGTGATGGTGAAAATCCTGGCTTCATTACTGGGTAATTGATAGGATCTTCAGTACTAAAAATAAATTTGAAGATTCTGTAATTGTTTGAGTGATACCAATTCATAGTGAGTTTTTCTATAATTATTTTATATACAAGTTAGCACATTGCTGGATGTTAACAAATAATGCTAACATTAGCAGCATGCTTGCTATCATGCAACCAACTACAGTACCCTGTGTAGTTCGTAGGTTCATGTATTGTGAGATATGATTATGTGAAAAAATTCCTAAGACCATAAATCTATCATTCAACCGCAAATACGTTGTTTAGTGTTTGACTTTAAGTGAACGTATATTAAACCTTAAATTTTATTCAAAGTGAATCATACCGGAAAAAATTTAAACTATAACACGAAACTGTGGGATTAACGTTGGTTGTTCTAGTTTTATACCAACAAGAACGAAGTGGATCGCAAACCAACAAACCATTAAACTAGGTGAACCACCCTTTTGCTATTTCTACCTAAACACAGAAACAATGGAAAATTTTTTTTTATAATTTTCAAGTGAGAAACATGGCCTTAGCCAGTTGACTGATATCTGGATATGCAGATAAACAGGGCTTTCTGAACTGCTGAATACAGAATTATTAAATCAAAATTGCCAGGAGCCCAATTTATTCGCCATTTCAGCACTTTGTGCCGAGATGATCTAAGTACTGGGGTACTAAAAATTAATTCACAATGAAATCAGGACAAAGACAAAAAAAATTCAGAGCACAGAATCGTACATATTTTCAGCAAATTCAGAAACTCGTTAACCCTGAAACCTGCGCCACATAAAGGTAGACTACGTTAGAAAATTTAGAAATCTACATGATATTTATCCTCACCTATTTAAAGAATCCAGTGGAGCTAAAGAATTTTTCAATTTCGTATCGTGTGGAGTACTAGTTTCTGAAGTTGACAATGGCTCAATTCCACTCAAAAACTCTTGTTCGCCGACAAAGTCCATAGCGAAACCAAAACTCTGAAGATTCCGCCGTCTACTGACAAAAATACGTTTCAAAGTACTGGTCCAAACGGCGCCGAAATGATGTTTACACTCTGGCCCGACATCTCACGGCGATGAAGACTACAGGAAGATTTTCATGAAATCAAATAGATGTTTCCCAAAGCCTCTACTAGTCTACTTCCTCTCTCACTTCCTTAACATCGACTAATCAGCAAGATGCAGAAGGTGAGGTTATAATTGAGCAACTGCTCAGGCACTTTTTTCACTCAGACAGATTTTTAGGCATGGTGGTAAAACGTAAATGAATACTAATACAATAGCTTGGGTAAACAATAGCTCGTTTTCGTGGTTTCGCTAGCCATTCGTAAGTTTTAAGTTATATTACTCCAATTTAGGTATAGTTCAAATAACTCGATTTTTTTTCCTTCCATGGAGTTTTAGTTTAGTTGCAGTAAGCAAATATTAATCTCGAAAAAAATTGCTATGGGCTAGGCCGTAATTAGGTATTAGTACATTTCTAATGGCGGGTTATATCATATTTTGAATAAATATTGTGGTTATAAAACATTTAAATTAGGCTATAAACATCAAATCGACAAAATATTTCAATAGTAGGAATTAGGAATTTAGCCACCATTTAGAAGTGGTTAGCCACAGACAGGATTTATCTTGGGTCAAGTTCGGGACAACATCAAATCTTGAAAACCAGGATTCTGAAATCCCGGCTTTCAACTAATTGTTCTGATCAGGATATCGGACAATTTTATTAAAACCCCGCTGATTTCCCGTTTCGGCAAATCTGACTTTCATATTTGATTACTCAGCAAGTTACGTCCGACTCCGAATCGACATGAAATTCGGCCAGAAATCGGTCATTAACAATTTAATCTCTGACTTCAAAATTGAAATTATGGCTCCTGATCTAAAGTTCTGTTCACTTACTTCTTCTGACCCTTTTCAGATCAATACAGGAGGCTCTATTTTCCCAGAATCTGGACTTCCCCGTTCATTTCCATAATGATGACCAATCACCAACGAGTTAATGATGACGTAACAGTTGAGATCCCTACAAGCGCCGAGACTCCAGTTTCACTCTGACAGCTTTCAAACATGGTTGTAGTATTCCTTCGTTTACCTATCCAAGAATTAATTTAATGGTCATTATATATTCCGAGGAGTTTTAGTTTAAATAGAATAATCCGAAATCAGTCCAGAAAAAGCTACGATATAGACTTGTATGGGTACTCCTGAAGCATGTGCATCAAGATGTCGCATAACCTGAACCCTAACCTGGTACACAACCTGAATTCAGGAGGTGCCTTGTATGATATTAGGTTGAACATGTAAACTAGTTATTAAGTGCGAACTCCCAAAGGTGCATTCAATAAAAAAGTTCGCAGTGGTAAAGTATAGGGAGGGTATAAGGAGCAAAAGTAGGCTATAAGAAAGCGGATCGGGGAAACATCCATTATTACCACGCAGTCTGTACCGACAATCTTGGCTTTAATTTATGAGCCATGTTTATGTTTTCCAATTGAAAAATGAAGTAAACTTCTATTGCCAAGTTAGACGCCTCAATATTCACCAATCGTTTATATTCATGTTTATTTGTTTATGTTTGTTGTGATTCGTTTTCTTCTTTCTTCGGCGAGTGAACACGTTTAATACGTTATAAACTTATTTTTAGGTTTTTGTTCACTTTCCAGATTCTTCGCCATTTTCTTTTTTGAGTATTGTTTTAAATAATTAATTATTGCGAATGAATCGAAATAAAATCTATCTATCTATCTTTGCGCATATACAAGCACATGTCTATTTTACCACCGCAGACCTGTCCAGCCGTAGATTCGTCTTCTTCAAAAAACGCTTCAGCATTTGACAACCACCCAGTAGCTTATTCTGAACTTGTCGAGGGGAAAAATTCAAGCAATGAGTTTATCAGAAGATAAAAATGATTCTTCTTGAGTGGAAAGAATTAGGATAAATGGTGGGAATATATCTCATCGTGATTTTTCGTTCTGATCAGCCACATCGAACGCTAGTTAGCTAAATGGTGAGGAATGAGCATTGAGCCTCTGCATCTGTAAAAACATGAATTCGTCTTCACTTGTTATTACCTCATAAATAGATACAAAATCAAGATATCAGTAACTTTACTCTACAAGTCGTGCTTGGATCGAAGTCACGCACTATTATATGATCAAAATCATACATGGGTATAATTGTAACTTTCACAGCCAGAATTGGCGCGGCACCTATGTATAATATGGGTATATCACAATAAAGCTAAATAATTCGAATATCCATATTGATGACACTACAAGCAAATACGAAGTGAAATTTCTTCCTTCAAAAACAAAAAAAATTCTACCCGGGAAACGCCTTTTTATCAGATTATGTAAACATAGGCCTACTCTGTATTTGAAATAAACAATGTGTTTATATTTAATTAACGATATCACTAATTATTATAATTTATATATATACTTGAATAACCATTCGGGTGCGGCGAAATAGCTTTGCCACCCGGTATGTACCATTGTACCAAGAACATCTTCAAAATATTTTGTAGACGTATGAACATGAAATAAATCCATTTTATCCTGAAAACGAAAGCTTCATGAGGCACTGAAAAAATATTTAAATTCCATAATCACGTTGCTTATAATCTGATTATATTTTTTGGTAAATCGTTCAAGTTTACTTATTGAAATAAATAAAATAAAAAACTATTGGGCTGCCACGCGATGTAGGACAACACATGCCACAGTTATTGCATTATGTCATTCTATGGGAGGACTCTTCGTTTTCGGTTGATTTTGCATGTTTAACCTAATAGCCTGTCGAGTTGGATTAAATAAATAGATGAATAATATTCACTGCTCAAAAATTTTAACAAATAATGTTGTTACCAAAATACAGTTTCATAAATCAAAATCTCGGCGATAACAAAACCACAACCCGTGTAATTACTACTCCTAATAGTCGAAGAAGAGATTCCACCAGAGCCAGAGAAGATTGATTGACCGTAAAATTAATTTTAGCAATAATGGTATTGGTAAATGCGGTTTTAACAATTCATTTGGGGTTTCTAAATTATATGTGTTTCTATCTTTTTTCAGGGAGAATTGAGTTACAAACTAAAATCGCTGTCTGGAACAGTAATTTTAAACATGAGCGTTTGTGTGTTATTGGTTGCATTTAAATTCAGCATTTTAGAAAATTGGTTAAAGATTTAATTACGGTACATTCATCAGTCGCGGGGAGGTTCATCCCATGAAAGTCTGCAAAATTAGGCGTAGACGCTTGTATTAGATGCTGCAATAATAACCAGGAGAATTATTTCAATTTCATCGTAACACTATTTTCAAATCTGCGTAAAATACTTGTTGTACAGCTAACAGACTAGAACGTCATATAGCACGCGTAAAGTCGTTTCATTTGCATTGGATAAACTAACATGAGATCACTGTGTCATTTGTTGATTGAAGATAAGTAACCCATACTACAACCGCATATTTCCAAGCCTATATCTACCTTGTAGCGGCATTTAACTTTTCGTGACGACTTGAGGAAGTTATGCTGCAGTACTTCCTGCTGCCCTGTGGTATGATATGACTAATGCAGAAAATAATCACCAGATGACAATAAACAGTAACTTTCCAGCCATTTGGAAAAGGGTGAATCGATGTCTGTCGATGTTTATTTATTACACAAATAAATTCGGCAGTGCCATGTTCGATCGCGCGCGATAAGAAGTAGCTATGTCGACGATATCGAAGCTGTGTGTAATCATGACAAAAGGCGGCGGTTTTGAGAGTTCTTCGACTCACTACAGCATAAAAAAATAGAAATTTGACACCACGAACAATCAATTTGAGCTACGCTTTTGTATGAAAATACTTTTGTCGCTGGACTTAGTGTACTTAAGTATGAATAATCCTTATTCGTTTCCCCGAGGCTATCGATGGAAACATTTATGAGGGGGTTACAGCTGTATTGTTATGGGTTTTTAATCAACTGACAGTTATGTTAAGGCTCGTTATTATTTCATTACTATGACTGGAGATCTAGATACCAACACAATATTCTGAAACATACATTATGCATGCAAATTATTAGGATATGTTACCTTACTGGCACCGTCAAATATGCAACGCAGCGAAGATAGAGATAATATTCCTATGTCAGGAGAGTACACTTTTAAATATGCTTGGCCAGATATAAAATTGAGTGACAGGATCATCGAATTTATCTGTTTGGTATTAAACTATCGTGCTCAGGCAATGATCAAGATCGATGTTAATCTTGAGATGTACCTACTCAATACCGCGGGAAATCGTTGATTAGTCAAGCTATTTTTAGATGATCGACAATGCAAAGGTACATGTGCTTCTAAATAACGCTATGAAAATGACATCAAACTTTAAAAAAATAGGTGGAATTTCATTAAAATAGAGAAAAAAACGCGAAATGAAACAATATGTGAATGTTTATGAAGATATAACGATTCGTTTTGTTTTTTTTTCAACGTAATTCTGTGTGTTCCATTACATTTGAACCCACGTACATTTGAACCCATGACAATTTCACCTGTATGCTATTGCACCTATGGAATTTTTTTTGTTTCACGGATAGTTAAACCCATACTAACTCTAACCCATGGGTTTTAGCACCCGCATATAGATTGAACCCGTGGATATACGCATGGATTCAAATGTACATGGGTTCAAATGTACGGTCACCAATTCTGTACGCCCATGTGCAATGTCTATATACTGGTGGAATAGGCCGTGTGGCTAACGCTAGTTTACCATTTGTAGTGTAGGCCCTATTTGTTTCAGTCAAATATTGTTGTTGCACTTATTCTAGTTGCGTACTTTGCCTCTTGTCGGAATCGGACTGCGAATTATTATTATAACCGTTCACGATTCCGAAGTGCACTTCACAATTGTCAGCTTCTGTTATGTCGAGCTTGCCCCATATATATTGCGTTGAAATACAAGACACAACTTAAATTTGTCGTTTTGAAAAACGTATAAGCTTATCGTGAGAAGTGGGCATGTATCGATCGCTTCAAGTCAGACTGGAGAGAAACATAGTCGGCCGTTCGGCAGTGGAGTGAAACGCGAGAAACGTCAACAAACACAGAAGGACCACTCTTACAGGTCGTTGTATTTTGCTCGTCAAACCTTTGAAGGGGAGTTTATGGATTTAGAAATATATAGATTTATTGAGCGAACAGGAATTTTTATTGTTTGTTTGAGGTTTTTAAAAATTACAAATTAATGCGAGAGTCACTTACTAGAATAATACATTGCGTATCTAGGAGTTTCTGGTCAGTTATTTTTCAATCCCGAAAGTTAATTTTATGAATTTTTTGTTTGTAGTGGGAGAATTTAGTATCTGCATCTGCAGTAGAACGCGTTTAGCACCAAACATTTGAAAGTGTTTATTTCTAAATTGGTTAATCGATTAATCCATATCCGCGTAGTCCAATCCTACAGTGTTCGAAGCAAAAAAGCGGGTTTAGTTTTGTAATTTGTAACATGGACCGCTTTTGTGCTATGTAAAATAGGTCCAGAACCAAAGCGAAAACTCAGGGATTATGGACATAAGTTTCCGGTGCTGCATGAATCATTAACCAATTAGCAAATTTGTCGGAACACAACAATTGATATGGGCGACCGTACATTTGAACCCATACATTTGCGCCCGTATATTCGCGGGTTCGATCTATATGACAGTGATAAAATCCATGTTTTAGGGTTAGTATGGGTTCAAATATCCGCAAAAAAAATTCCCATAGGTGCAATAGTATGAAGGTGCAATTGTCGTGGGTTCGAATTACGGGTTCACATGTACGTATATTTCACTCTTTCATCCTCCAGTAAGAGCTTGACGTACTATCATTAATGTCAGTCGCATTGCCAACGGTTTGATGGCAAAACGAGTTTAGAACCTATTCGTTTATTTATGAGATAGCTCAGCTACCGCTACAAAAGATATATACGAGATGGGTTATAAAGCGTAAATAGCCAAAAGAAAAGTCCCCTCTGCGACGTCAATTCACACAAAAATAACATAAGTTACTTGTCTTTGTTCAACAAGAATAACGGTGCTTATTTTTCTCTCTGAAAACAGCTTGGTCGGTAACTGCTAAATTTTGTCAAGTGCAATAAATACCGATTTGATAAATTTATGTTTTTACAGAAATATTCATCATAAAGTATCGAAATCTACTATTATGTAATGGTATTTACGTGGGACGCTGACGCCCCCTCTTCGTTAAAAGTAGTTTTCGTTGTTGGATTTACCGCTGGAACTGCAACTTTACTAGTTTCCTGCTGGTGTATTATTACCATTCTGTCATCTAAGAAGCTTAGAAAACCTTTATGGCTATTCAGGTGAGAAACGTACGCTAAAATTGAGTTTATGCGACTAGTTTTTGATGAAATTTTCAAAGTGTAGAGAGACTGTAAATTTGTTTCGGGACTACATTTGAATGAAAGATTCATTTCACTAAAGCGGGTTGGTATGACATCATTAAATAGAGTAATTCACGAATACTGTTTTGTTGCTAAGAGTCACGTTGAAGTAAAATAAAAAGTACGTTTTTTTTGAGTACAGTACAGATAACTTTAATACTTCAGTATTGCGTGTATAATTACATATTATGCTGCACGTACTTATAAGGTACTTATCACAGGTGCATATTTTTATATTAATAAAACTTGAACATCGTAATTTAAGAGGTTTTGACAGTTTAATTTACGGTTACTATGTTTGCATTTACTCAGCCAGATCAGATAAATCGTGTATAACAAGATATTATGTACATTCGCCATTGTTTCAATCAAATCATGACACAAATTGTGTTTATCTACAAATAGTGCTTATCAGACGGTGGCACCATTTTTATAGAAGCCATACTTTTTTACGAGTGTAAATTTGAATCATTCCCAGCCCAGAATAGGAATAACAATTATATATACCGTCTAAAACAGATGCTTATATATATCACACCTGTACAAACGCATTTGTAAGTAGAATGGCATGGCTAAATGATGCCATTTGCATTCAATTTTCGGCACCCACCGCAATTGCCCCTTGAAATTGCTATAATATTTTTGATAGACTTCTCGCCAATATCATAGCTCTGTACAAATTTAAAACACAATGATTTTCCGGCATATTTACAATAGGTAATTGCCGAACATAAATTCCATATTAATTTAAAGTCAACATTTCTGAACTGTTACAACTCGACTTACATATAATTTATAAGGACTCACTCAAATTGTAATGTCAACTTGCACATACTACTTCTATCCTGAACAAATATTTGTTTTCGCATATGATATAATATTCCCAAGGCATTCAAAACAGGGTCAGTTGAACCGAGAAGTAAAGTCATTTGCCATAGCTATATTCAAAATCACAAATGGCATTTTGCTCATGATATTTTTAAACAGCTACAGTCATGATACCGTCTGGGCATTAATGCTTTCAAATCTATTTAACTTATAGTATGTAAAAGAGTTTTAAATTTGTTTTGTATTTTCCGTTAATTTTCGTTTTGGTTTTTCAGAGCTTCGTTATGCATGAAGGATATACTTTTATGCATCATCGTTTTGTTGCCAAATTTTTCAAGCTCACAAGTGGAGATTTATAAAGAGGTAAGAAATATCACTAATAAGTTCATCCTGGTTTCCTCAGTGTACTGTAGAACATGCGAACACATAATAGATGTAAGGCTCGTTGGTTGAAAAGCAAGAGTGACTTGACACGAAGATGGCAATGCATCATGCGGACGGGCTTAGATCCCAATCGAGACGACGATTATTTTGCACTCAATTTCGAACCCGACCCCCAAAATTTTAATGCCAATTTACGACTATTGTAATGATCCGATTTATCAACAAAATGTTATATAAAACAAACTAATAACTCTTTTGCTGAGGTAGCCTATTCGTCTCTTTAATATAGTTAGTAGTTCACTTTCTGGGCTCAATTGATTTCTTGGTGATAAAGGGGCATTTCGGAGCGGGGTCATCATTGATTCGCGTGGGTGTCATTAACTCATAATGTATCGATTTGAAAATTACTCCAATTGATTAACTTTGTGGTGTATACTTCATCAGCATAATTTGGCAAATCGATATTTTATAATTTGACGAGTGAAGAAAAGGAGGCGAAAATGGGAATATTACTATAATTTAATAATGTATAACCATTGCCCATTGCCATATTGTTACAAGCTACAATATATATAAGAAAGTGTTAAAACTGGGAGGCAGCTGTAAACCATCGACAAAGATCAACACGGACAGCAAACATTAAAACTCGAATAAAAGGAATGTAAATCAAAACAATAAGGAAAAAACGGAATTCGATACAGAAACGGATAATAATAATTTAATGAATATTTTTAGTACAATGACATCTCGGAGAATATAAAATGCCTACAATGCGAGCAAGGCTAATAAGAATGAATAAGAAAAAAAATCTTCATTGTAAAAAATTAATTTTTACTATTATTCTAAATCTGTGAATAATATATGTGTGAGCAATAACTGTCTAATATAATTTGACATTTCAATATCGGCCGGATGCCAACTGTTAACGATTTTAGATCGTGTGCTCATTTTAGAATATATTCTGTTGGATTAACGCAGTGATATTATGAACATTTATCAGACAACCAATTCATTAATGAAAATATACCAATTTGTATTGCAATGTGCATATTTTACTTCACTCACTTTTGTACTTTACTTTTTACATTTACTTTGTTGGGATCCATGGAGATCAATACCAATAGAGATTATCTTCAAATATAGATTACTATTAAAATATATGGATACTTAAAATAATCAGCATAACCAGCTTTCATGGATAATCCATCACAATGCAGTTTAGAATGTTCATTTAAAAATCAATATCGTAAGCAATATTAGTAACATCAAATGAAATTACTGTCAAGTAATAACGCAATCTCTTTCACAAACCAAGGAGATTTATCGAACTGATGGAAAAAAAAGCTGCTGCCCAAAAGCTGCTGCTGCATTTTGCAAGAAAGCCTAATTCGACATACATCAGTTTGCGATGAATATGACTTTCAACTCTTACTCTGACCATCTGACTAAAACGTTTAAACCAATCCTATGTTATATATCAAGGATGACGTAGCAAAAGCATGAAATGTGATAGAAATATATTTGCGTTGTTTTTTAAAGCAAGACTAATGAATCACTTAAGAATATATATAGAATATATTGTCATACGTCTCAAATGGTGTGTAGCACTAATTTATCAAATCAATATATATATGTATAAGCTCTAACGCTTTTATTTCAATTCTGGGATTAAGTATTTAGATTCTGGTACAGGACCAAGTCGCAACGACTTGGAAGGGCGCATTGTTATATAAAGAACCAGGAAATGTGCGGGTCAGTCATGCGCACTACAAACTTTTTGTCGCATATAAATGAAATGAAAAAGGTTTTTAAAAAGTAATTTTGTATTTATACAATATTTCCCAGGCAATAGTAATACAACTATCGGTTGAATAGAAAACGGCTGAAATAGTTCAAAGAACTCTATCGCGTATGCTTTTTGCCTAAGATAACATTTAGGCTGACAAACAGAATAAGTTTTGTTGTATTAGGGCGGTTTCTACAAATTTTAAGAGACTATCGATATAAATATTCCAAAAATAAACAAGTGTCATATCATATTCTTTGCTTTTACTTGTGGAATCCATTTATGTTTCCCCCTATTACCGTAAATTCTACTCATTTAATAATTTGTTGTTTTAGCATTAGTGTTTTCATCCAAAATATGATAAAATTGAAGTAAAGTTGAATGTTTTTCTCTACAGCATAACCATGCTCAACCCTACCTCTCTGCTGCCTTGATAGCTTCCATTTCTTCATCTTTCTTCACAATTCTATGCGCATCGATTGACCGATATCACGCCTCAACTCGCCCATTCAGGTAACAATAACTTTCTGTTTTAGTTGCAAGTGTTGAAAAACATGATAGTATATTTATGTGCTACTATAGCAAAAAACATTATGATAGCTGGAGTAATCGGGCCGTGCATGAACAGTACATGGCGTTGGATTAATACTCGTTATTGAATATTGTGCAGTTTCAACAACATCATCATTCAGTAGTGGCTAAAAAGCCGTTTTTGCTCTGATGATTTTTGTTAAACTTTTCCGCCACTCGAGTTAAATGGATCTTTTCTTTATATAAAATTATTTAGATGATTTTGTTAATTATTCTCCGATTTTCCATATGTTTTATACGACTTTTGCACGCAATCATTCCGAACAAAGGTGCGTGCTAGCAACCAGATTATATCTTTTTATCGTTGATTTACGGTGAAGCCTTGAGATAGTCAAATAAATAGCCTGGAAACTCGACAGAGGGGGCCTAATTGGCTTGATTATTTGAACCGGGTTGTGGAAGCAATTCTCTCACAGTTGATCAGATTTTTCAGAATTCAACCTATGAGTCTAGTTCACGACAATTCACAACCCCTACTTTCTCGCCCCACTGGTGTAAAATAACTCACCCAAATCACGTTTGTCTTGTTCCAAAATTATTTTATATTTTTGCTTGTTTAGATATCATATTGGAGACATGATGCCAACGTCTGTTGCCGTTATATTAATTTTCAACTCTTGGATGATCAGCGTTATCATTTCTGTATGCGTGGTATCGGATTATTCAAAATCAATAAGGGAGTCGTACGGAATTTTATTGGAATTTGTATCATTGGAAATATGGCAAAAAGCGATTTTAATAACTGGGCTGACGTTCGTGTTTTTCGTCTCAACCTACCTTCTCGGACTCTCTCTCGCCCACGTACGGTATTAATTTAACCATGTAATAATCTCGAACGATTAACGAACAAAAATGATTATTTTAAATTGAAATTCATTTTTTCTTTGGGTTTACAAATACTCACCTACCTTGGTTTGAGAGTGAGATCCATTTTTGTTTAATATGTAAACATAAATTGTACTAATTGAATTTTCAAAATTCTCCGGCGGCCTAAAAATGGGTTGAGCTTTCATGCACATTGTGTAAAATTACTTGTCTTGAGCTTGAATGTATAAGACCTTTCAGGTTTCAACTTAAAAGCACTTCATTGCCAATTTTTGTTCATTGATCTTCTAATTGCACCCGATATACTTCCACTTCAATACGACCTTATAATTATAGTATTCATCCAACTTTAGCTATCGAACGACGGAGAAATAAATTCAACTTTATTTATTTACATTACAATTTGTGGTTTCGTTCGGACCGCTTTGTCTGATTTGATGACTTACATAAGCTATACCTAGTTTGGAAATCGTTAAACCTTCAATGTAATAATAATACTTTTCTATACTTTCGATTGACTATGCAATATACCAATATGCTTCTTAACGAACCCATATTTATAAGTACCAGCTTATGGATTTTAGTGAATTAACTAAATGCTGTGTTCTATATTATAGATGATTCGACAGAAACAAGAAAGTAGGCTGCGCATAGAGAGTGGAGAAGAAGAGCCGATTCGAAGCAGAAGAAATTCTGCGATCGAAGAAGCTTACTGTGATAAACCAAGTACGTCTGGGTACAGAACAGACTCTGAATCAGAAGCAAATCAATTTTTTCTACGAGTTGAAGGTATTTAATTTATTCATATACAAGCAGAAATTTTGCAAATATGTAACTGGTATAGTCAATGTCCTCTTCCAAACACATTTTTTTATGTTTTATTCTCAGTCAGCATCATATTAGTTAACTGATTGTAATGACGATTCTTTATGTCTAAAATGAAAACGTGAAGCAAAAGTTTTCAAATCCTCCAATATTTAAATTTCCATTGATAAAAAAAATGATAAAAAGTGCCACGTAAAATTTTGCTGAGAACATGCGAAATGCAGTCTGAAATCACAATTGGCGAGTCCTAGCATGCTCAATATGTTGTTAGTATTGTTGAAATCGTTATTACTGTCTGAAAATTTTTAAACTAGTTGAATAGCTACTAGTTGTTAGCGGCAGCTTGCGGCAGCTTGTAAATTTGTATCTTAGAATTCTGTTTTCGTGCAGATCCTGTTCAAAAACCAAAAACTGCAAAACGAAAATGGTCGCTGAAGAACACTCAAAATAAAGCATATTTCACGCCTACTACATACCGTCCGAGTATTTTGAGGCGAATTCGAGATACCTGGTATCTGTATGTGGTCATTATTACATGGGGAGTGTTGTTCCTGACTACGTTGATCCCGTTTTATTTTCTACTTGTTGGAGCAGAATATTGCAACATCGATTGGAAGGCTTTTGCGAATCCACACAGTTCAAATTCTTCTGTGTCGACCACTGCAGGTAAAAATAGAATGCTGCACTAATTTTGTGCCGAAATCGCTTTTGATCCAAGAATATTTAGTGTTTGCAAATAGTCCTGGCTCCATAATATATATATAGCGATAGCGTGGCATAGCGGGATGGGAATTCAGTATTGTAGAGATATTCCATCTTAATCCCTGCTAGCGAGAAGAAAAACTATATGGACGCTACTATTAGGCAGATAATTCACGTGATGGTGCAAAATTTTGAGCTCACCCCCCTAGCTAGATTACACGTTCAAAATCAACTATAAAAATTTGAAGTTTAAGAAGATAAAATAAAAAGCAATTTCTATTACCATGGTCGCCATAGATTCATTTTTTAACGATGAACATATGTTATCGCAGTCAATATTCGTAGCAGACGCGACCGTAAAATATTACAAGTATCTTATGTCTATTTCTGTATCTTCGCGGCGAACAATTTAGCTTTTATACGAGTGAAACCCTTACCTAAATTTATTCCTTTCTTTCATCTGAAAATTATAGCCAACGCACGGCACAGCTGCCAGGTATTCAGGGATCATACTTATTGTCACGGCATCAAAAAAGACGTGGTTACCATATAAGAATGCGAATCAATGGCGTTTCCAAGATAGGAGAGAATTTGTTTTCACAAAATATCAATCAAAATATTTAATTTATGATAATGTTTAATAAAGCCGTTTCGTCCACCAACATTACATTTTCAAAAGACTCTTTTTCAGATGCTGTACAGTCTTCACTTTCATTTGATTTCAATAATCACTGTATACTGGGCGGAATTTCTGAATGTTTACTTCTAAGTCATGGGTTCATCTGCGTGATCACATACACATTTGCGGATGATGTGTTCAGGCCGAAGTTTTTGGAGCCGATAGCGTTTTTAGTGTTACCGGTAAGTTTTGCCAACAACGCATTCTATAACGGTTAAATGTTTTATTTTATATCATATTGTCCTGGTTCTTGGCGAATATGTCCTTGGCGTCGATTTTCTATCAAAAATCGAAATTTAATTATGTTTTGTGTTTAGTGTGTAAGCGCTATCAGACGAAATCGTAGGAGAGGAAGCGTGTATGGTCAAGACAGACGTCGAACACTTTCAAGAAATTCTAATATTGCAAATTTTGGCGTATGATAGTAGATCTGGATTATCGATAAACTTGACTGCAAGAAAATGAATTAATTTTAATCGTGTTTTTGCGTAGAATTTTATTTGATCAGTTTTGCTGCAAATGATCTAATTTCTCACGTGGAATCTTGAAGGAGTAATACCACAACGGCAGCATTTTAAAATATATTGATCTAATTAATTATAATTAACGTGGGCCTAGCTTCCAAATGAAATGGATATTAATTTATGATGTACATCCTATATATTTAATGAAGTATATTTAAATTTACAATTGATCTTTATGTCGCTGTTGGTTCAAAAATAGTAAAAGCACGAGACATAACATTTTGGTGTTAGCTTAGCTATCCTAAATTGATTAGCTTCAGAGTAGCTTCTATACAAACAACAAATTTTGCCAAACAACATTTTTGCTCCCAATACAGATTTTTAGGTTTTGCCGCAAAAGCTTAACACTTCAGGCATTTCGGTGTGTCAAGCGCAAGCACATGAAAAAATTACATACGCGTGTATTATTCTTATCTACGTTGGCGAACGAGTACAAAATATTAATATCTTGCTTTTGATTGCTAAGTTTTTTTTTCGATTGATCAAATAAAATTATATTTATTTTTCTTGATGACCTGTTGTGTTGCGAGATTATCTCACGCAAAGTTTATGAGTGATGGGCGAGCTTCAGGTGCGCCATGGGAATATGATAAATAAACTGTATTTTACTAAAAAGCCGCCTAATGTAGAACAGTCGAGGAACTTGGTTATTGGATTGTTTTGCATTTCCCAGTGGCATCAGCTAGACCTGCAGAGCGTGATAGTCCCAACTCCGTAGTGGCAAAAGATTTCGAAATAACCAATTTCTGACCTCGACAGGTTTTGTGTACACATGCATTTCTAGTGTATGTTCAAAATTTGGGTTTACCTCAATGTCCTTTTCAGATCATGTTTCGTCTTCAGCACCCACCCTTGAGCAGTAAACGATTAGATTTTGGTTCCGAATCGATTACTATCAAAACATGTTAGATTTAAACTCTAACCCAGCAGCAAATTTACGAGCGCGTTATCGGGAATCTAGCATGGCTTGCCCACGGAAGGCGAAGTCGTTGCACTGTCGCCCTTCCTCTTTAGTAAATTATTAACTGGGACATACCAATGTAGTTTGACAAACTAGGAAATACAGCTTTAATTCGAATTATTTCAGGTGTTATTGGAAATTATATTTGGTTTGTAAATCAAATGTGTTCTAAATATTTCTACCTAGATATATATACGTAAAGGAAAATTGGCGACACGTAGTAAAAGTAGATCAAGAGATTAATGTTGAAAATTAAGTAGGCCTACTTGTTGTGCCAGGTTTCAATGAATACGGCGAAGATCGAAAAAGGGATACAGTCTGGGCTTAATATTGACGCTAACATGACCTAACCATAACTACCCTTCAGGGGTCGTGATGGCTGATTGGTTAATGGTAGTAATTAAGCCTAATCATATGCTATTCCATTCTACAATGTTAGTGATTTTGTTGAAAGTAAAATTGGCGTAACTAAGCTAGTCAATGGCTAAACTGGCCATAGCAATTAAAAATATGATTTACTTTGTTTATTATCATACATGCTATGCATGTTTATTTGTTATTTGATTTCAGGGTTTTGGTATCCTGATTCAGTCATATATATTCTCTTCGCCCCGCTTTATTTCGTTGATAGCTTGTCGTCGACAATGCGACGTAACTAAATCCTACGCCCAATGGACAAACGTAGCATGTGAATAGACGTTAGTGTTGTACTGCGAACGCCGTGACATTGCGTGATAATATCTCGCAATGTCAACGATTTGGCGTGGTACATCGAACGCATTATCAATCTAACCAATACGTTTTATACTTATTTTTCTAATGTTACGCAAAGCTACAAAAATGTCTGGTACAAGTAGTAATAGTGACATAATCCGAATATACGAAGATAAACAACTAGCGGAAGAATATATTAAGTATCGACCTGGATATCCTCCATTCATTCTAAAAACTATTTTGCAGTATATGGAAGAAACAAATGCAGAAAACCTAAACACGTTTGATACCATGATTGACGTTGACTGTGGCAGTGGACAAGCTACACACATGTTTGCAGAGCATTTTCGATCGGTACTTGGAATTGATATAAGTGAAAGTCAAATTGAAATTGCTTGTAGGTTTAATGAAAAGAATAACGTATCGTACCAACTTATTCATGATAACTATTTTCCCGTTTAAGACAATAGCTTGGACCTTGTGAGCTGTGCAACTGCTGCACATTGGCTGAACTTACCGACATTCGAACGCGAATGTAATCGAGTATTGAAAACTAATGGATGTGTTGCTATTTATACCTACCTTTTGTTAAACATAAAATCCAGCGATGACAATCATGGTAATTTGCAATCCAAATTTTTTGAAATTGTGACGAAATTTGTTAATGACTGTGAAGGTCATGAAAAGTCAAAGTTGAAAGGTTATCAGGAAATATTTAACGAAATAAACAATACATCGAAGAAATGGGTTTCTTGTCCCGATATGGATAAAGCATACAATTTGCCATCTTTCAAAAAATTCATGGCCACTTTAGGTGAATATTCAACGTATATGAAATCGAATCCTTCCGTAGACCCACTGGAGCAATTCGGCGATTCTATCAAAAAGCTTGTGTGCAAAGATGAACTAATGGACAACGATGTTGATTTCAAAATAACTTTTGGATATCAGATGATACTATTTAGAAAATAATAATACGTTCATGGTGGTAGGATCTTTTATTATGATTGATATCTAAAAGACACAAAGATGGCAATAGTTTCTCCGATGTAAATAATTAGAAAAAGCCAAATAAATAAAACTAAAATTGATGAAATATCTCGAATAACAAAAATTGAAACGATGACTAACCACGACGAAACTGAGAATAGGCTTTCCTTTTTTCCCTTTTTCATTACATTGTTGTTAAGTTTATTTTACCACCGTATGCTACTTTGTGAATTGCAGTAAATAAAAATATAAGGAAAATCAAGCATATGATAAATATGTAACGGAATGAGATTTCATTATTTTTGTTGTCTATCACAGGCTGTGGAAGTCGTTCTAGGCCCTAGAAAAATCATCCCAATAAGGTATGACAAAGATTTTGCCTCCGACGATCCACAATTCAAAATTTTGAAAAAATAAACTCCATTCGATTTTAGTCAATTTCAACCTAGACTTAAACTTTGAAGTTGAAACTGTGATTACGGAAATTTCTCGTGGGGATGGAAAGCTTTGAATTTGCGACTCAAATACTAGTAACTAAGCCCGAACACAATATGTGATAGTTAGTGTTGCTATATTCACTGTTCCAACTGCATCTATTTTTTCATCAAAAAGAAAAATACATTTTTACTGTTGGGGTTATAATTTTGGTTGAAAAGAATTTTTGAAGCATAACTGGTAATGAGAACGAGGTAGCAGTCATTATGTTATCATACATAAAATTCTCTAAATTTGAGGTGAACAAAATTCATTCATGATATGAATTTATATTATGAATTCATGAATATTCAATTTATGAATATGAATTTATATTATAAATTAAATAGGAATATTTTATACCTTGAAGCAGTATATTATTTATATTTGCACATTAAAGTAAAAGACAGCGTCGACAACAACAAAAGTTATACCTTCAAACAAAATAGCCTACTATCTGTCTACTTTTAAAATGTTTCAATTTCAAAGTTTGAGTGAAACCTATGTCAATTTTTTGCTCATTACAACTACAACTAATAAAGAAGCAAGTGCTATATCTGGAACGTTGTATAGTAAATATATAATTCAATATGTCCGTATTTTCTCGATGATATCTAACGGTAGAAAATTAATATTGATGACGAGATTTCCTTCTGCGAATGGGCATGTCCGGTTGCCTCATCCTTATCTATGTTGTCGGTGCTTTTTCCTGCCCAGCCTAGGCAACGAAAAGTTGTTTGTTGGTTGAAAAAGTTACTGAATGATTCTAATACAATAATTTTATAAAACTACAAGTATCACATGCACAACATAATTGATGTCACAATGCACTTTGATCAGGTTACCTGTAAAATCGCTGCAAGTTCCAAACTCATTCAAGCTGTTTGCAAGTCCTCCAATGCAGATATGCTGAGGTAAGTTTACTTTCATTCTGGGTAAAAATGGAATTGAATGAAACACGTCATAAACTAAATATCAGGTATATATTGGAGTTGAAAACATGTGAGTTGGAGGACATGGAGTTGAAAACGCAATTCTTTAAAATATAAAGTTTTCACAAAGTCTGTGGAATGTAAAATGTAGCCTAATAATTGTCCGATAGCACTGCATACACTACCAATCAGCCATCAAGATCTGATACATATCATATTGTTGTTATGTCCCACTTGATATGTTATTTCTATTTTATACAAAGCTAAGGCATAGCCAACAACATGTTTGCTGAGTGACAATATAGAGATATTCAATGAATTCTCTAAAACAGGTAGGCAAAACAGTGAATAAGATTACCTGACTCCAAGGCACATGGCATTTGGGTATCCATTTTCAGCATAGGCTCGAAACTGTAGAAAACCAGGTTCAACATATTCTCTGAATTTTGGCGGGATCATATTCAGGATATCGGTATCATTTCCTTTATCGAATGTTATCGGAGCGATCAGCCCATTCTGAACTGTTTTTTCTGAATACAATAGCAACAAGGATAAATTACATTAAAACATCACATTAAAAACATTTTTTCCAGGTATAAAATGCAATAAAATAAAAAGATTGCATAATTTGTTCATAAATAAAAATACTCGGGTCTGAAAAATATTTCAGGTGGCACCAATGTGCGCTATTTACTTTCAGATAACAACAGAAAGATAACGATAAATTGTAAAGGTTCTTCAATATAATGCTTGGCCAATCAATACATATTATGACATATTAATGACATATATATGATCCTAATGATAGGATCTGTTAGTTTACAACGGTAATTTGCCTCGTCCTTTCAGTTGATATCATTTACGATATAGAAATTTAACCACATCTTCATACACTGCTCAAGAAAACAATTAAAATAAAAACCAACACTCACTCGGACCAAATAAATCCTTCAATGGCATGAATATATCCAGAATATAAGTTGACAGATCATCAAGATGTGATTTTTCAATTCTTTTCCCAGTTTGTCTATAAACAAAAAAAATGAAACGTGCCTATCAGCCCTAAACACTGCTCAAGAGATTGAGAAACAGGAAATGGTAAGAGACAAATTGTCATTCGCATTTCAGCTAAGATGAAACGCAAATTGAACATCCAGGAATATAACGTCTATTTATTCGAATGCACTGCAGTTATCAGTGACCCTGCTGTGATCCAACTAAAAATCTCAAAAGGAATATATAATTGGTCAATTCTGATTAACGTGCAAAACATGGTCGATTTTGAGCAGTTGATTGTTCAACAAACGAGATAATTTTATGATCACCAGTGATGAAGCTTCATATTAGCAAATTATTCTCCAAACGGCTAAAAATATTTAGTCATTCACTACTTTTAAACATTTAAATTTCAATTCAAATACACGATAAAAATTTTCTTCGACTGAGTTGAAATAAATCTATGTACTTTATATAGCCGATTTCCCCGTTAGTTCCACCATTTTTTTTTCAGTACATTGTAATTGTACAGGCTGGCCTGCGTAAAACTAATATCATAGATACTGTTTTTCAGCCGATCAACATGGGCTTTCCGCGGTATCTCTTTAAAGAAGAGCATGTCCGGACACGCCTGAAGCGCATTCAAGCTGTCCCGTTAGTTCTTGCTCAAGCGCCTGAGATCAATGAGTTGTTTTTCTACAACCTTAACTTTCTTAAAAGTTAATTGGTTATTAGTTATACATTAAAAAAAATTTGGCAAGTGATGAGTTCGTAGCGTTATGATATAAACTCACATTAGTTTTCTTTTTTTGGAAGCGAATTCGCGTTTAAACACAACGATAAAAACACAAATTGTGATTTTCAGCTCACAAATGTTCCGACTCAATCGTGATTACTGCTTGGGTCAGCAGAAGAAATTAATCAATTGTTGGATTTTGTCGTAATTTCATGTACGAAACAACGTGCGATATATTCGCGATTTGAAGAAGTGATTTAATCACAACTTGGCATATGTTTCAGCCCTAAAACACTTTATTAGCTTTTTCGAAAAATGAAACTATACAAAAAAATAATTAGTCATTTCATTATTTTTACCTCGTCAACAGAAGGTAACCTATGACGACATTCAAAGGTTTTCCATTGAATATAACTGTTGTGGAAAATGGAGATTGAATTGAATTTTGTAACTCCGTTGGTTTTACAGAATTCCAATACTACAAAAATAAAATAAAAAGAGTAGTAAGTGAATCACAATTATATTTAAACTATGTAAATGTAAACACATACACAGACATATATTCTGGTTTCCGTACATTTGAACCCTCGACAATTGCACCTGCATACTATTGCACCTATGAATCTTTTTTTTTGTTTTGCGGATATTTGAACCCGTACTAACCCTGACCCATGGGTTTTAGCACCCGCATATTGATTGAACCCGCGGATATACACATGGGTTCAAATGTACGTGGGTTCAAATGTACGGTCACCATATATTCTATCTCGTATATATTAATGAAATATATAGTAACAAACTCATTCTCGGCTAAGAAAAAAAAACTTGTAGATTCGCAACATTTAGTTGAATTATGTGCGGTTTTTGAGGTATTTCATATCGGTATTGGATACAGATCTATCCCGAAAGCATGCTGGAATTAACGTTCCAAAATAACTATCAATTATAACATAACATCAATTATCACAGATAGAATGGCTTGTAATCAAGTGATGCTCGTATAAAGCATTAATGATATTTTCATCACTTATTCTTAGTGTAATCTGAATTTTTTTGATCTCTCTGATGATATCATGTCATAATTTAGTACTTTTTACCAATTTAAAATACATCATAAATTACCTTTTCGCTGTGAACAACAAAAAAATATTCCCCAAGCCCTGGATGCGTGTTTCCGGGTGAGTAAACTATGGGCGTTAGATAATCCAATTGGAAATTGCCTTTTGTTATACTACCTTTGCCACTGGTGAATCCTTTAGAATTGATATAAAATCCGGAAGTCTGAAACAAAAAAATCTTACAGTATCACCCTTATTCTTATGTTATCTTTCCCCAAATCTTCTCTGTTTTATAGAGAATTCAAGCCGCGCAAATTGCAATTGGCAGTCAGTTTCATTTGCCATATTTCTTTGATGCCGATATCGGAACAACAATCTTATGACTGATTGTCATGTGAGATAATTAGGATGCTATTATCAATGACAGAATATATGTAAGGGAAAAAGCAAATTGAAGTTGGTCTCGAGGACGAATTAAATAAAAGGGGGAAAATTAAATAATTCATTCCGGTTTACGTTACCATCTACACACTTAAATTAAAACAAGTATACGATCAATAAAAAATTTTACACTCATGGCTGAACAAACTTTGCTTTTGTGCCTTGGACTCGTGATAATCCTAATTTGAAATACTTAGCCAAATTATGAAAAAAAGTTAAATAATCAAATAATGTCATTTATACTGTATCAAATGTGGAATGTTACTACGGATTTTAATGTTATTTAACCCTTACGTGGTAATACTACGTGTTGAATTCAATAAAACGGGTCATTTGCCCTTGTCGCTGATGGTGATTTGTCGCGGCAAGCAAAGCCTTAATTAAAACCCCTTTTCTCCAATGGTTCTGAGCGAATTTTCATACCACTTTCATAATATGACATAATTAATTAATTAAACGTGGAGAAGCATCCCCGAAGTCCCGGTGAAAAGCTTGCTTATGTCGCTATCCTCTAACAGCCGCCCGGGTCATGTAGCTTGTATTCTCTCTACTCTATGCCGATAATAAAAGAGGAATTTCAACAATTGTTGAGAAAAAGTCCTCCCATTATTAGCGTTGATTTATCGCGGCAAGCAAAGCCTTAATTAAAACCCCTTTTCTCCAATGGTCCTGAGCGAATTTTCATACTTCTTTCATAATATGACATAATTAATTAATCAAACGTGGAGAAGCATCCCCGAAGTCCCGGTGAAAAGCTTGTTTATGTCGCTTTCCTCTAACAGCCGCCCGGGTCATGTAGCTTGTATTCTCTCTACTCTACGCCGATAATAAAAGAGGAATTTCAAAAATTAATGAAAAAAAGTCCTCCCATTATTAGCGTTATGGTGAACATGTGCTAGATAAAAGAGATAAAGAGTACTCTCATGAAAGAGCACTACGCCCCTCTGTCAAACAAGGCTAGACTGCGCGTCTGAAGTGGAACGAAATACGAGATATCGAAGAGATTTTGATCGCTTGTTTTCGTGAGCTGTCTCGTATCCTTGTTTGTTTATTATGTGCGGAAGACGGTTACTCGCTCGTTCAAAATACTTCTCATTCAAGTAATGACGAATTCTTTGTATATTTCTAAGCTTTGAATCACTTACACAAATAAAATTCACCTTGTAGTAAAAAAGAAAATATACGAAAAAAAAACATGATGCGTTCACAGTGATTACGAACACTTGGATCAAGCATGGATCATAGTTGAGTGCTTAATTAAAATGATTTTAGTTAGTATGGAAATACTTTGGTCACAACATAAACGGAAAATAACATACTATTACTACGTTATGACCAAGTATGACATATTTCCAATATCTTGACATTGGAGAGTAAAAGGGTTTTAATCAAAGTTTCGACCGATTTGTGACGTATTTCCGACCCCTGATCGAAATTTGAGAATATAATGTTATTGATGTCCCTTTTGTTAGATTACTGTATTGGATTTCAACTGTTAAACTTTTATTAAGGTTTAAGTGTATATTTCAATTTCCTTGCTTTGAATTCAATTTTGATTGTTCAACTTTGCAATATATACGACCCTGTGGCATCACAGTTCTTGTTTGCTTTTGACCTGTGAAGGAGTCAGTGCGAATACTCCGCTAAAGTACGTTTAATAATACTGGATTAAAACACGCAGAGTTGTTCTATACATGGACCTACAATACACGAGGCAGTTTAGTTTAAAAAAAACATATATATGTATCTTGTCAGATAAATAAAATGAAGAAACCCAAGTATATTCGTAAACTGGCAAAATTATGATATCTGTCTCACCTGTATTTCAAAATCTTTTCTTCCATCTTTGTTCTCAAACGCCGACACAAAGATGAATGGCTCCGTTTTGGCAGTATTTACGCTTGAATCGCCAATTCTATGCCCCAAAAATACAAATAGTATTTAATTTGAACAGGAGACCTATAAGTTTGAGCTACATTTGGACGAGTGCATAAAAGATAGAAGATACTATGGCGTCTTTTGGAAAATTTGTTCGTTTTCATTTTTGGGGTAAGGGGGGGGGGGGGGGATATAAGTCGGCGGTCTCCGATCTCTATCTCGTATTTGGCATTTAGGACGTTATTTATTGGTATAATGCAAAGCGCGGCATGTTAATGTAGATAACATATCCAGATAGATTACTAAATGTCCCAAAATTTCGTATGACGCACGACATTTCTGAGGCTCACAATATAATATAACCAAATTCTTTTTATTAAAAACATATTGTCAAATTCAAAAACTTGTTTTTGGACATGAAGTTCCTATCTGTTATGTTTATTATATTGAAATACGCTTATTTATGGTGTGATGTGCTAACTTATAAAACTCAAAATCAACTGATGTTGCGGGCCATTACACTCGCTGCTTCACTCAGTGTAGCGCGCGTTCGGCCACGGACATCTAAGGGCACCACAGACCTGTTATTGCTCAATCTCGTGTGGCTAAACGTCACTACGCCTTCTAAGAAGTTAGACGCGGACCGAGAAGGTCGCGTAACTATTTAGCATGCCAGAGTGTCGTTCGTTATCGGAATTAACCAGACAAGTCGCTCCACCAACTAAGAACGGCCATGCACCACCACCCACAGAATCAAGAAAGAGCTCTCAATCTGTCAATTCTACATATGTCTGGGCCGGGTGAGTTTCCTCCTGTTGACTCAAATTAAGCCGCAGACTCCACTCCTGGTGGTGCTCTTCCGTCAATTCCTTTAAGTTTCAGCTTTGCAACCATACTTCCCCCGGAACCCAAAGACTTTGGTTTCCCGGAAGCTGCCGGAAAAGTCGTCATGGTAACGCCTCCCGATCGCTAGTTGGCATCGTTTATAGTCAGAACTAGGACGGTATCTGATCGTCTTCGAACCTCTGACTTTCGCAAAGAGCCAATAGCATTCGCTTACTGTATATCTCGGCTGTGACAGCTACGCATAGCTTTTACCTATGCGGTCACTTATAATATAACAATTTCTAAAGATAGCTTCGCCCTGAATTTTGGGGCTCGAGGATAACAAAGTGCTATAGATAGACCACAAGAGTTTAGCACAGAAAAGACCCGTTGACGCGGTACGTTATTTGTATATTTTAATGGTAACTATCGGCGCTGTTGAAAAAATTGCATTTTGCTCAAATAATGTTTAATTTATTTAATGAATCATAATATTTCAGCCACTAGTCAAATATTCCAAAATATGTGAGAATTATATAGTACGAATCAATAATTACGTGAATTTTCTTTCATATGTAACAAATTCAGATTGAGGAGGACTCTTCACAGAGACCGAGATCTGGAAACAAAATATAGTTTCAATAACATTCAATGAGAAGCTTCAAGATTACTAAAATCGTGGATTAAAGCTGTGGCAAGCGTTTGAGAATACAACCACAACAAAGTCGTTGGAGATGGCAAACATTAAACCTTGGGATATGCAAATCAAACCTAGCCAAGTTAAATTGTACAACTTGAACGGATAAAAAAGCACGAGCCATCTACAAATGCTATGCTATGACTGATCGTAGTCGGCATGTAATCGTAGTTAAATGCTGATCAAAGCTCTATATGTGATCATGCCATCTTTGCAGGAAAATAAAGCATGTCAATGATTAGTATTACTTTCATGTTTCATAGAAGAATTGGGAACGACACAATCCATCGAAATTATTATTTTTAAAAAAAGATTCACAAATTTAATAAATCAGGACTAATACTCCAACTGCGGACTACAAGAGCAGGACTCTGAGTTTGTCCGATGTTGAATTTTCACAATGTTTTATAACTGATGTTTGTGTGCTACTATGAAAATAATACAATTTTATTGTTTGATCAATTTTTTAGTCTACACACGAAATTCGAATAATTTTTTGAGGTTTACAGCCCAGGTGATTACGATTTACTGTTTACAAAAATATTATTAACTTAATCTCTCTTTCAATAATGCTACAACTCAACATAATCATTGTTTTTTTTATCAGAACGCATATTAAAAACAAAAAATTGAAATGAGTTTGAACATATTTGAATATATTTCAGAAAATCAATAGATAAGCAATCTCACCTGGTTTCCATAAGACAGGTACAAATTGTCGATTCCGCCATTTATGGTATTACTCTCACCAGAGCGATACATATTGTTGTATGAAAACCAATCTGGTATTTTGTTTTTCATTTGAGTCGCATGATCAACCAAAACATCAAGCACCCTGTCAGTTTTATCTCTCAATTGACTCAGTTTTTTAGGGTAGACTGAAATAAGAATTTCATATTTCTTATTTTAAACTACCAATTCAAATAAAAGTAACTGATATAGAGATCACAACCACTGATAATCTGAATAAAAAACTACTTTTGTTGTTCATTGTTTTTATATTCCATTTTTTGTATATTCAGCAAATCCAACATGGCAGTTATTTTTGTATACCGTCACGCTAATAACCGAATAACCGAATAAGTCATTTTTAGTAGTTTTGAGAAAAACGTAAAGAACTTCCTAATGATATTGTTATGACATTGAGAGTCAATAGCCGGATTTAAATTAATTTGTGACGTCATAATGGCGCACTGTGACTTACGCAGAAATGTGCCTATGGCTTGCGGACATACGCAATTTTGCAACTTCACTATATAGACCAGTCTTGAGAACCAAACATTCGAAAAACGTATGTAATTCCTAGTATCTACGATGTCGAACCCTCAAAATAGCTTATCTGTTTCAATAACATTATTTTTATGTTTAAAACATATATTTCTTTAATATAACGCGCTCTGCATTTGTACCGAAAATAAGGCTTCCCATATATATTAAATATAAAGAATAAAATAGCAATGCACCCTTGAATAAAAGCCAATCAATGTGAATTAGACTGAGATAGTGAATATCACAAGTGTACACGTTCCTACGTTGGAATGTAAATTCAAATTTATGAGCGCTAAGCTAGAATCAAAGATGCGAAAACTCGGAAAAACTTAGCCAGATCTTATTCTGTCTTTGTGACGTCATAATATTCCTGCGGTGAACAATGACAATTCATTATGACGAAAACAATTGCAAGAATACGCCACACAAAATGTCTATTTTTAGGGGTTTCGGAATTATTGAAATAAAATCTGAGTTAAAAGACAGGTGCGCAGCATTACATAACAAACTATTTTATAAAAAAAAACTCAAAACCGCCAAAAAAATAAATAAAATTTACCAGCATCAAATTGCAGCGGATATCTCTCTCCAAACAGTGATTTTAAATTCCCACCAGTTGTGTGTAGAAAATTATCCGTTGTTCTGTATCGGAGTGTTGCTCTCATTTCCATCGTTTTATTTGATGGTTCTGGTGGGACGTGCCATATCATTACGTCCTTTGCCTGGAAATGTTTCTACTGGAATGAAATAGTCTTCAACGTGTCTTGAGTGTGAGATGGTTAGAGATATATTCATCTAGCCAACTATTACCTGAATCACACATCATTTTAAATCGGTAAGATAACCTCACATACCGGAGAGTTGAAGACTCAAAGAAGAGCCATACTATGTAAAAGCGAAACCTAAACAAGTTAAATCGAACATGTTTGGCACAAAATGAAGGGCCCGGTTAAGTCTATTAAAGTCTGAAAGGGTTAAACCTTTTCAAGACACTTTGATCTTCTACAACAAAAATTAGAAAGCTATTTTCGGAGGGAAAGGGGAAAGTCAACAATATCAACTACCAACCAAAGAACAATGGTCTTCTTAATATACAATAAAAATGGAAATATGTCGCATAAAAACATATTAAGTATAAGCATCCTTGTTCAAGCATCCTTGTGGTGAGTACCACATACGGATCCGAAGTAGAAAGTAAACAAGGAGAAAGGACCTGCAGTTCAATACACAATACCCAAGTTCCCTTAGTAAAAACATATTGTTAATATAACTCATCAAATCCAATGGAATCGTTTTGTTTGAATTTAACTAAATACTTTTTGAACTCATAGTGACCGATTAAAAGCACACTGAAAACAGTAATCAATTGAATACTTACGTTAGAAAAAAAGTATGCAGAATTTTTGTAATCATCATCAGTGCAGTTCATGACATCACCAAACACTTTTTTGTTTGCCCAGGCGGTTTCAACTGAAGTTATTATTATGTATAATTTAAATTAAAGTTTTTTCCTGTTAGTTCTCTAATTAAATTATATACAACGAGTTGGTGAATTATAACGCAATGATATAATGGCCTTCCTACACTTGCAGGAAGTCGGAAAAATCTTCGAATAAATATGTTGCTTTTCAATGTTCAGCAATTGTGGGTCGTGTATAGGTTTTGTTTGAACCTAATGATAACATTAAAAACGTGTTCCATTTACATCACTATAATTCAAATTTATCTGTAGAGCCTCTGTTATGGTAATTTTTTTAGTAGGGACTTCCCTGTACTGAGTGGAAATATTAGTTTACTGATGCTAAATAATTTTATAGCGTTTGACATTTATATAACGAGTAATTTACATGTTGCTTTCTTTTCGAATAATTTCGAGTAGAAATTTTGTTAACTTTCATTAGGAAATAAATGTACGTAAAACAATATTTATTATATATCATAGTCATGCACGTCATAGTCAAGAATTTTACTTCAATCCACATAGTAATTAATTACCCAATTCAATTAATTATTGGATGTATTTTTTCAGATTTCTTTCTTATATGTAGAATTGTTATAAATTTTAAATAAGGTATGCCATATGTGCTGTAACATATTTGTATATATATATGTATTATGACTTCACCATATGCGCCGGTTGAAAAAGTAGTCCAACGATCATCAATGTCACATTTGCCCTTTATATCTTTTTCATGTACACTGGCAACCAACGTCCACCCTCCTCCGTCAGTGGACATGTCGCAGTAGGTCTGAAATAACGAAGCATATATAACAAAATGCATAGCCTTTTGCTCCAAATATTTAGGCATGAATACGGCGCCACACTAACGCACACTAACGTTCTATAAGCACTCACTCGCCGGTTATCACTTGATATTGCATTTGCTAAACTCCATAATGATCAAAGTAAAATTATAAAATAGTGTTATAGTCTTTCACTTGTATTTTTACCAACATAAAAATTTGAAAACTTTGGCTAGCGATTGGAAAAAGCTATTTTCGACTCCGCAAAAACAAAAACAAGTAACAATATATCAGTCCACTTCGTTTGCAACAAGAAAAGACAAAAGTAAAACAATTACCTAACGTAATTGGGTACTTCCGTAGTATATATATTTCAATAAATTTCGATATTATATCAACAACTACCTCAATCGGTTCGAAATCATCGTCAGGTTTGATGTGATAAAATCCACTTGTTGTTTTCCCGTTATCTTTCAAATCCATGCAAGATCTCATTTCTGGTGTTGGTGGTGGCGTCTTTTCCACCTAAAAAGTTTTTAAATGGTATTGTTTTAATTAAAAAATAAACTACCAAATTCGATTATCGGAATGTTGATATTTAGCTAGGTAGCTGAAATTCCAACAGTTAATCCTTTTACAAACAGTTCTCACTATATTCTGCACCTTACTCGTGACTAAGCCACGAAAGAAAATTTCCTCTGAGCACCAATTATACTTACCGCATCATCGCCCAATCGAAGTTTTCAGTGATGATCAAAATAAAGTATACTCTGTCTCTAACACAGCGATTCACAAAGTGGGCGGAATCGCCCCCGGCGGCGAGAGCGTTGAAACATAGGGCGAAAAACCCGAAGGGAGTGACAGGTGGGAATTCGTACTCGAAAAGTCAAATTTGGTCAAAATCGCCAAATGTTTTCTTCATCATGACGTTGGTATTTAAGTCGTGAACATTGGTATTATGTCGGAAAAATATATTTCCGTGAATTAGTCCTATCTCACAAGTATTCCTCTGGAAATGAGGATCTCGATAACGACTATTTTTCTCGTCCTGAACTGTATACATCAATTGTGAAAAACTCGTTAAGCGATCAACTGAGACGAGACGATAAATACAAATTACCGTATCCGCAAATCCAATTTCCGACTGAAAATAATGAAGTGAATTTTAAGAATAAAAAACGAGTCATAATTTATATACAAATGTATAAAATATACTGGAACGCGCAATAAATTTTTGTTCTAGGATAGCCCGGACAAATTAAAAATTCTATTTCAGACGAAGTAATCGCAACAATTTTATAATTTTTGTAATTTTGTAATTTAACTGAAGTTAATTCATTTCGTTATCCATTCTTAAGTATGCTTTTTATGTGAATTGTAGAATTTCAGAGCAGTAATACTATTATTTTATCTCTAAGTCGGTACAACGGCGTGATATTAATTAATTTAATATGACAAAACATTTTTAATGCTCCTATCGGTCATGCACTGAATATTTTACGCAGCAGAAAAATTACTATCGCTGAAAAAGTCGGTAATTTCAACAACGGCAAAATCGCGACCACTGTTCCAATCGGAATTTCCTTTTCCGATTTTGAATACAAAATAAAATTTACGGAAGAAATAGTTGGTGGAAAATAGACATAAAACATAAAACTTCTGATTTTTCTACTTAAACATCTTATTTAGTAGTAAAGGGGGTCATCAAATTAAAGGATAATGATGATTCGAAATTGTATTTGTCTAAAATGTCTTCAAATATTCAAAAACTTTTTCTTTTGAAGATTCATCCATCTTGTTAAAAACACCATGCACCACGATAAGTCTTGTCGATTTAAGCCTTTTTCCTGAGTCTATTTTGCATGGGTCGTTTTTAAAGAAATATTTTTTTTGTCAACCTCCAACTCATGGCTATTTATTTGGCGAGATTCCGCTATAAAGCAATTCTCGATTAATATTTAACGTCCGCGGCCTAATGCTCAAAAAATCTTGAAAATTACTTTTAATCTTAACATTTTTTGTGTAATTTGAAAAATAAACATACTACAACCATTATATAGCTAAAATCGTTGCTGCGAAATTCAAAATTGTAATTACGGAATTTGTAAAATCAGCGATTTTCTTGACGATTTCCATGACGTCGGGCTCTGATTGTCACTGCAAAAAAGCTTCAATATGCAATGAGTGTAAGTATGTCGGTGAAAAGGGGCAGCAAGCCACAGTGCGTTGTTAAAACAAAATTAAAAATGGATTTTACGTTCTATTCTCGTTTACAATTTAACTACCCATGTTTGTTCCAGTAAATACTAAATAATCTAAGATAAGAGTATTGTATAAATTTGATTTATATCGAATATTTTCTGCTTTGGTGAGTATTTGCTCGAGGATTTTGTTGATCTCACTAAATTCATCACGTGTCGCAGTTTTCTCAACTCAGGTTTACATTTAGGGCTTGCTGAAAGCAAGTGGAATTATAGTGAGTCTTAGAAAACAGAAATCATAAAAAGTGAATAAAATGAAAAGCGTATGAAAAGCGTACATGTTGTAAATAAATACACATCCTCCACGATCACCACTTTTTTATGTATTGCATGTATGAAAACAACAAAGATTCAAGCTCACGACCGCAATTGATGAATTTCATATTCTATATAAATCATGCAATTTATTTTGAAATACCTCTGATCCGCCATTCATCATAACCAAAAGTACAATGAGTAGGGTAATTATGATCACTACCATAATGATTTCTAATATCAATCGGCTTTTGTTGGTTGACTTGTATGGTGGAGGTCCTTGTTGGTAAGAGAAACGAGGAGTGGGCGTTGGTGAAGACGGGAGAGGCTTGCCTAAAGAAAACAAATATTTAATTGCAGTGGAACAACTTCAGTGCATGCTCTAGCTCTAAATTTTGAATGAGCATATTTCTTCGTCATGAAAAAACATATACAGTAATATGTTTATGGAAGAGATATTTTAGAAGCAAATAATGTGAATATGACACGAGTTACCTTCGGATACATGCGTCACTAACGTGAGGAAAGTAAATCACATGAGTAATTTTAAATTTTCCAACGCTTGCGCACTAATGAACCAAAAACTCGGCATAACTGGCCTGATTTTATAACTATTCTAGATGTAATCAATTCGAAATGAAAGTAGTGTAAATATTCTGATTTTAAGACAGCACTATGGTGGCCCATCGTTGTCACGCGTAAAATTTAAAAAAAAATGAAAAAGTAACAGGAAAAAGCGAAAATAAAAAAATTGTCGTGAAAAAACATAAAAATTATTGAAAAAAAAGAAATGAAAAAAAAAATTAAAATTAAAGAAAAAAAAAACGAAAAAAAAAAATTAAAAAAAAAACATAATTAAAAAAAAAATTGGTTAAAAAGAAAATAGAAAGGTTGGTCCGCCTCGTGGCCCATCGTTGTCACACGTTTTATTTTTAGAAAATTTGATGCTGCTTGGGACCCTCGTTGTCAGGCTTAATCCTACACGCACAAATGTGTTTCCTGGGTTTCTAAATCACTACTGATTTTCATGAGCAATATCCAATAATATCAACATGAAAATGTTCTATAAATTCTCCATGCTACAAGTTCAACCACAAGCAATATATTTATAATAATGATAAGAGAATATAGAATTGGATACGAAAATTTGTTTTTACGTGTAGAAGGTAATTTAATTGGAAAGTGCTGCTTAACTGCTCAGTTGTCTGGACACTCGTGCGATGCCGGTACGGTACCGTCTGACCGTACCGGTACCAATGCAGTCACTCATGAAAGAATGGGAAATACGGATAGTCTCGTAGAATATAGTCTACTGAAACACTCTCTGCGCCTGCCCCATACCGTACAGCCGTAACGTACCGATCCAGACAAATGATAAATCGCCCGTGCTCAACCATTTATTTCAATCCATACCTCGACTCACTATATTCTACTAGAATCGAGGTATGGATTGAAATAAATGCATGCATGGCTACCGGTACGGTCAGACGCAAAGCGACTATAACTGACTACCGGTATTTGGTAAGACGGTACGGTACCGGCATCGCGAGTGTCCAGGCAACTGAGAAGTTAAGCAGCATTCTCCAATTAAATTACCTTCTACACGTAAAAACAAATTTTCCTAATTTTCGTATTCAATTCTATATTCTCTTATCATTATTATGAATATATTACTTTTTGTTGAACTTGTAGCATGGAGAATTTATAGAACATTTTCATATTGAATATTGCTCAAGAAATCAGTAGTGAGTTGGAAACCCAGGGAACACATTTGTGCGCGTAGGATTATGCCTGACAACGTTGGTCCCAAGCAGAAGCAAATTTTCTAAAAATAAAAACGCGTGACAACGATGGGCCACGAGGCGGACCATCGTTGTCAACCTTTTTATTTTCTTTTATTCAATTTTTTTTTTTTTTTTAATTTTTTTTTTTTAATTTTTTTTTTTTTTCGTTTTTATTATTATTTATTTAATTTTAATTTTTTTTTTTTTTAATTTTTCAATTATTTTTATGTTTTTTTACAACAATTTTTTATTTTCGGTTTTTTATTTTATTTTTTACGCGTGACAACGATGGGCCACCATACAGCACCGTTTGTTCTAGGTTCATTAAACTCAATCAAATAAATCGAAAAAACTGTTTCATATATGAAAAAAATCTTTATCCCAAAAGGCATGAAAAATATGAAAACTGCCTAGACTCTAGACTTTGCGTCAGGTTTTATTAGCAAGAACAGAGAATTGCCGACCAATGGTAAAAGGATAATGCAGAATTAGACGTAGTATAACCTTAAATAGAGAAGAGGAATTACATGAAAATGAAAAATTATATTCTAGAATCTAATCATTCAGCCTTGTCTATATAAAAATTATATGGGTATACATCTTAAAAAAAATCAGGACCATCACATAAATCATACTCGTCGTAACGATAGATGAATAATTAAGCACTCAGATATACAACTCAAAACTCCTTCCTAGCAATGAAGAATCTGTGTTTTCAAAAATGTATGATTTAAATTGCTCACCGTCATCTTCTTCATAAGGATTCTCTTCGTCGGGAATTCTATTCATATTGCATTCTAAATATTCCAATATTAAAAGTTAAAAATTACGGCCAATTGGATGAATTTCTATAAATTTGAAGACTCAATATTTTATTATTTTAACCTTAAAGAACAACTTATTATCAGATATACTTCTTCTTGCTTAATTAGCACTTGTATACAGTTTCCTAGAAAATAAGACATACCCTGAAAATAAGACCTAGAGTGAACTTTAAGAATGATTCTAATATAAGACCATCCCTTAAAATAAGACCTAGTCAATAGCGCAAAATTTTTTTGAAACGAGTTGATAACTAGAAATCTCTCCTACACGTTTTAACTGATTAATCTAAATGTGTAAGAGCGGAAAACGTGTTATGTATATTTAAATGGATATCGGTTTTCATATTTTGTATATTTGATAAATAAGTCTCGTAATTCACTACTTTGTAATTTTGTTTTCAATAAATGAAAATAAAAGACATCCCCCGAAAATAAGCCCTAGTGTTATTTTTGAAAAGGGATCCAGTATTATTTTTGAGGAAATACGGTATCTTGCCTGTGACTAAAATTCCATATTTCATGCAAAATTAATTCACTGCGTCATAATACAGTTGTGATAATAGTACATTTCCCAACGCGTTATGTCGAAGAAACCTCAGAAATAAAATATCCTACTGGGGACTTGTATTGTCCTAAAAATTCGGTCATGCCTCCTTTATGGCACTTTCACTATATATGCTTCCAGAAAATCGCAACAGAATCATCCTTATTGAAAGCCTCACTAACTTTTTGTTATGAGTTATCATGTCTCGTGTGCCGTGCATATAAATATTAGAAAACATCGTTTTTGTTTCCTTTTCTTCTGCATGATCACGTTCATTGCTCCAATTAAGGACCGCAGTGTCAGAGAAAATGAAGTTTTTCTAAGATCAGATTTGCTCGAAATAGTTTTATATTACCGTAGACAACAAAATAAAGTTGAATATAATTACGATATACAAATTGAAACTTGTTCTAGCGAATAAAATAGAGGCAATAATTCGGTATATTTTATCAGTTTTCCGTAATAACCACAAAACACACGAGGCTTTGAGTCCCGCTATATATGCAACACGCCCTGTTGTGTATATTTTTCGATATTCTCCGGTTGAGTTCAAAAAATTATCTTTTATATAACAAATGATCTGGACAAGTTACCAGAAAAATCCACTACGATAAACAATAATACATCTCGGCTCCAGTACCCACCCCGGGTTGGCAAATATTTCGATGGCATTGAAAAGTGAATGTATAATTTCACAGCTATCAGTGGGGGTTACGCAAGTTTAACGAACCACTTTTCCTCGCTTTATGCCTTCAGGCAAGTGGATTCGTATGAGTATAGCAGAAATGAAGATTATCATTCTATTCAATTCAAGAGTCTTGTTTCGCGTTAAACGCAGTAAGACTTTTGATTAAATACCATAGCTCCACAACCTTACATAATACTCATATTCAAAACCCACATCGCATTCGAGACCCATAGCGAAGTGGCTTCCCCTTCGAAACTTGGATTTTAGGGTTTGAGGAGCGGAACAAAATATCGTCAATGTGGGACACCCTATCAACAAAAATTTTATCTCCAGCTTCCACTCCAGATTGACGAAAATTTTACTTTTTAATCTCATAGCCGTAGCATAAATAATAATTTGATACTTACTTTTTATATTTAGGCTATGTATTATTGGTACATTTTTTCAGAGGTTAGAAAAAAATATGAATACCGTATCGTACTACCTTATTCATGATAACTATTTTTCCTGTTGAAGACAATAGCTTGGACCTTGTGAGCTGTGCAACTGCTGTACATTGGCTGGACATAACGACATTTGTACGCGAGTGTAATCGAGTATTGAAAACTAATGGATGCGATGCTATTTATGCCTACTTTTTATTGAACATAAAATCCGACGATGACAATCATGGTGATTTGCAGTCCAAATTTTTTGAAATTGTGAGGAAATTTGTTAATGACTGTGAAGGTCATGAAAAGTCAAAGTTGAAAAGTTATCAGGAAATATTTAACGAAATAAACAATACATCGAAGAAATGGGTTTATTGTCCCGATATGGAAAAGGCATACGATTTGCCGTCTTTCAAAAAGTTCATGGCCACTATAGGTGAATCTCCAACGTTTATGATATCGAATCTATCCGTAGACCCACTCGATCAATTTGGTATTTCTATCGAGAAGCTTCTATGCAAAGATGGACTAATGGACAACCATGTTTAATCAAATTAACCTTTGGATATTAGATGATACTGTTTAGAAAAGATTAATACGTTTAGTGTGGTCGGAGATTTTATTACGTTCGATATCTAAAAGACACAATTTTGACACGAAGATAGCTAAATAGTTTCTTCGATGTAAATAATTAAAAAGCCAAATAGATAAAATGTAAATAGATGAAATATCTCGGATAACTTGGAATAAATTGGAATGATGACCAACCACGACGAAACTGAAAAACGTTCCCTTTTTCATCACAGTAATCATTGTTAAGTTTATTTTACCATCATCGCGGTAAATAAAAATATTAGAAAAATCAAACAAAAGTATTAATATATTAAATCCCGAAATTGTTAAATATGTAATGGAATGGGATTTCATTATTTTTGTTGTCTGTCACAGGCTATGGGAGTGGTTCTAGGAGACTTGAAAAATAATTTGGATACAGCATGACAAAGATTTTTTTTCCGACGGTTCACAATTAAACCCCCAAAACACAAAATTTTAAGTAATTGAACTCCAGTCGATTTCAGTCCATTTCAAACAAAACTTAGCAGTTAGAAACTCTAATATCCGAAATTTTTCATTGGGACGGGAGCTTCAAATTTGCGACTTCAATATATATTAGTAACAAAGCCCAAACACAAGACACAACACCGTTAGTTATTTCACATTCACTGTTCCAGCTGAATCTAGTACTTTATCAAAAAAATAAATATTTTTTACTGTTTTTTTTTTATAATTTTGATTGCCAACAATGTTTAAATCATAACATGTAATGAAAACAAGATTTCAGTCATTCTGTTATATTAAATAAAATTCTGTAAAACAAAATTCACTCATGATATACTATGAAACTCATCAATTCATATTAAAAAATGAATAGGAAGATGCTATTATACATTGAAGCAGTATATTTATATTTGCACCAAATCATGCACATTAAAGCAGGATACAGCGTCGAAAACAACAACAATTATACCTTCAAACGAAATAATATCTATCTATTATTAAAATGTTTTACAAATTTACGAAAATTTCAATGTTTGAGTGATGCCTATGTCAATTCTTTGCCTATAACATTCCAGTTTTTCACAATTTCGTCTTTTCCTTAATGTTTTCTAACGGTAGAAAATTAATATTGATGACGAGATATCCTCCTGCGAATGGGCATGTCCGGTTGCCTCATCGTTATCTATGGTATCGCTGCTCTTTCCTGCCCAGCCTAGGCAACGAAAAGTTGTTTGTTGAATAAAAAAACTACTGAAGGATTCTAATACAATGGTTTTATTAAAATAAAAGTATTACATACACATCGTCATTGATGTGAGAATGCACGTTGATCGAGTTACCTGTAAAATCGCTGCAAGTTCCAAACTTATGCAAGTTGTTTGCAAGTCCTCCAATGCAGATATGCTCAGGTGAGTTTACTTTCATCCTAAGTAAAAAAATAATTTGAATGAAACACGCCATAAACTAAAACCAGGTATATATTGGAGTTGGAAACATATAAAACGCAATTTTTAAAGATATAAAGTTTTCATAAAGTCTGTGAAATGTAAACTACTACTACCAGTTCTCCGATAGCACTTCAGCTACAAGATCTGACCAATCAGCTACAAGATCTGATACATATCATATTGTTGTTATATGTCCATCTGAATATGTTATTTTCATTTCATACAAATACATTCATACATTTCATTCAGTAAACTGTGTAGATAAAACAGTGAATAAGATTGATTACCTAACTCCAAGGCACATGGCATTTGGGTATCCATTTTCAGCATAAGCTCGAAACTGTAGATAACCAGGTTCAACAAATTCTTTGACATTTGGCGGAATCATATTCATTATATCGGTATCATTTCCTTTATCGAATGTTATCGGAGCGGTCAGCCCATTCTGAACTGCTTTATCTGAATACAAAATCGAAAGATAAATTACATTAAAACATTGCGTTGAAAAATGTTCTGCCATGTATAAACAGCAATGAAATAAAATGGTTGTAAAATTTGTTAATATGAATAAAAAAATACACAGGTCCTCGACGAATATTTTTTGTGCCACCATTGTTCGTTACTTTACCTTCAGATAACAACAGAAAGATAACGATAAATAATTTGGTAATTGTAGGTATCGTAGCAAAGGTCTTCAATTCAATGTTCGGCCAATCAATACAATTATTAATGGGATTTTAGCAATTGCGTTGCCGAGTTTCAGGAGGAAGGATGGCGCTTCGAGAGACATCCAGTCGCCTTCTATTGATGTTCACTTATCTCTGAGAGCAGAGAGAGAAATTTTATTTCATTCATCAAACCATGAACATACAATATATGCAAACATTTATAAATAATGATAAAAAAAGGATGCTCATGTGTATGACTGGGAGACAACGATACGACCTTATGGGGTAATCAGAGTCTGATACAAGAATTTTCAAATTTGGAAGTATTAAATAATCATGTTTTGTCGTAGGATCATCATTTATTCAGCTGAAAATTTGACATGTATTACATATCAATTAATGGGAAAGATTTAATATAATATACACAAATTTAGTACAATAAAAGCGCAGAATTGTACGACTTTATCAATATATACGTCTAAGCTGTATCCGTTTTCAAATGAATCTGTTAGTTTACAACGTTAATATGCACCCGTCTTTCTAGTTGATATCATTTGAGATATAGAAACTTAACCACGTCGTCATAAACTGATCAATAAAACAATCAAAATAAAAACCAACACTCACTCGGAGTAAATAAATCCTTCAACGGCATGAATATATCCAGAATATAATTTGACAGATCATCAAGATGTGATTTTTCAATTTTTTGTCCATTTTTCCTGTAAACAATTAAATGAAACGTGATCATCAGCATCCAACACTGTTCAAGAGATTGAGAAACAGGAAATGGTAAGTGACAAATTGTCATTCGCATTTCAGCTTAAGATAAAACGCAAATTTTCTTTATATTGAATTCAGTCGAATTCACTACATCAAAAATAAAGTAATTTTCGTTTTACTATATCTTCAACATTACCTCAATATGAAATATTAAGAAAAAATCCTGCAACTATGAAACCATTATTGCATTAATATCATTATCAGTATTTTACTGGTCACGTGAATTTCGAACTCCCAACCATCACAAACGGTTATCAGGGACACCTTGTGATCGAACTGAAAATCATAAACGAATATATAATTCTTCAACGCTGATTAATGTGCAAAACGTGGTCGATTATGAGCAGTTAAATTGGTCAACAAACGAGAAAATTTCACAAACACAATGAGGTGTCATAATAGCAAATCATTCACTAAACATATTTTAGTCATTCACAACTTTTATATATTCAAATTTCAAACCAAAATACACCATAAAATTTTCTATGCTCAAGTTGAAACAAAGTATGTACTGTATAAATAAATATTTTCCCTTTTTTTACAGTACATTGTGCAGACTGGAGCGCGTAAAACTAATATCAGAGGTATTCCCAGCCTATCAACATGAGATTTCCGCGTTATCTCTTTGACGAAGGGCATACCCGGAAATCCCGGAGCGCATTCAAGCTATAGCTTGTGTATACACCGCCCGTTTTTTTTCAAGCGATTAAATCATTGAGTTGTCTATCCTAACCATGCATTGACTTCCTCAAAAGTTAGGTCGTTATTAGTTTCACTCAAAAAAAATTTGCCAAGTGATGAGTTTGGAGCGATATGATATAAACTCACATTAGTTTATTCCCTCATTGTAAGTGAATGCGCGTTCGATATCCAGCTCACGAAAATTGCGACATAATCGTGATTAACTGATTTAGGCCAGCAGGATGAATTAATTAAGTTTTGTAATTCGTGATTGAAAGAGCTGATTCATTCACAAGTTGGTATATGTTTCTGCTGTTAAACTCTTTAATAGCTCTTTCAAATTATGAAACTATACGAACAAAATAATTAGTCATGTATTTCAATATTTTTACCTCGCCAATAGAAGGTAACATATGACGACATTTGAAGGTTTTCCGCTGAATTGAACTCCTGTGAAATATTGATTTTGTGATGATTTTTGTAACTCCGTTGGTTTTACAGAATTCCAATACTGCGAACATAAAATAAAAAGAGTGATGAGTGAATCACAATTATATTTAACCTATATAAATGTAAACACACACACACATATATTTCATATGTATATATATAGTAATGTAATATAATATAATAAGAACATAATATTTAAATACAACCATTTTCAGCTAAGAAAAAAATAAAGTATGCTCTTGGATTTGCAGAATTTAGTTAAATTCTGTGCAGTTTTTTTTTAGATATTTTATACAGAACTATGCCGAAAGCATGCTGGAAAGAACTTTTATGAATAAATATGAATTTCTACATAATATTACTTATCACGCATTAAATAGATTGTAAAGCTTTGTGAAGCATTAATGATATTCTCATCACCTATTCTTAGTGTAATTTGAATTATTTTGATGTTTCTGATGATACCATATCATAATTTTGTACTTTTTACAAATTTAAAATACTTTATAAATTACCTTTTCGCTGTGAACAACAAAGAAAAATTCACCAAGCCCTGGATCCGTACTTGTGGTATAAGCTATGGCTGTTAGATAATCCAATTGGAAGCTGCCTTTTGTTACACTACCTTTAACGCTGGTCATTTGATTGGCATTGACGAAATATGCGTTTGTCTGAAACAAAAAAATCTTATAGTATCGCCCTTAATCTTATGTTATTTCTTCAAAGCTTCTCTGTTTTATATAGAATTCAAGGCGCATATATCGCAATTGGCAATCAGTTTGACTTGCCAATCTTATGACTGATTGTCATGTGCGATAATTAGGATGCTGTTATGAATGACGGAACGTATAATAATGACAAGATTAAAAATTTCACTCATTAGCAACTACACATTTAAATTAAAACAAGTACACATCACTAAAAATTTTATACTCATGGCTGTACAAACTTTTGTGCCTTGGGTTCGTGATAAACCTTAATTTGAAATATTGCGCAAAATTAGGAAAAATAGTTTAATAACCAAATAATAATGCAATTATACTGTACCGAATGTGGAATGCTACCATGAATTTTAATGCCATTTAACCCCTTCGTATTAATACTATGTTGAATTCAATGGAATAGATTATTTCCTCTATTTCTCTGATAATAATTTATCGCGGCAAGCGAAGCCTGAAGCAAAGTTTCTTTGTATCGACCGATCTGTGACGTGTTCCGGCCCCGTCCGCAGTTTGAGAATATAATGTTATTGACGTTCTTTTGTTGGATTATTGATTTGTATTTCAGCTGTATAATTTGTATTAGGGTAAAAGTGTATATTTCAATATATCTGCTTTGGGTTTAATTTTGATTGTTCAACTCTGTAACATACGGACATTTGGCATCACAATTCTTGTTTGCTTATTAACCTCTGAAAGAGTCATTGGAATTACTCCGCTAAAGTACGTTTAATAATACTGGGGTAAAACAAGCAAAGTAGGGCCATAGTCCTCCTTCAATACATTAGGCCATTTAGTTTGAAAAAAACGCTCATTTATATATGTCGTGTCAAAAAAAAAATTGAAGAAACCCATATTCGTAAACTGGCATATATAACTATGATATCTGTCTCACCTGTATTTTAAAATCCTTTCTTCCAAATTTGTTCTCAAATGCCGACGCAAAGATGAATGGCTCCGTTTCGGCACTATTTGCCGTTGAATCACCAATTCTGAGCCACAAAAAATACAAATAGTATTTAATTGGAACAGCCGACCTATGTGTTGGAGTTGCATTTGAATAAGTTCAGAAATTTTTATATCTATCTTATTAAGGCGTTTTTTGGAATAATTTTGTTCGTTTTCTTTTTGTAATGTCGTGATAATCAGCGTTGGTGTGTTGTCTTTTTGATAGGCAATAGACGGCCGCAAAAATAGGCAAAGTGTCCACGTAATGTATCGAATTTATGCAAGTTTTAGTTCTATTACGAGTTCGGTGACTAGCCAAGTGACTCCCGTAGTATTTGTACCTAAAATTATGGCCTAACCCTAACCTGGTACACATACTATGTTCGGTGTCCGCCATCTTGGTTCACATACTTTGGGAGTACCCATTAAAATATGTTGACGTATGGTGTGGTGTGTTCACCAATAAAACTCAAAATCTTGGGGGGGGGGGCAGAAGGGCTCACGCGACCATATTCTCCAGCGTTTCACGTTAGACTGAGATTAAGGAGTCCACATGGATTCCACCCTGAATTTTGAGGCTCTGGGATACCATAATGCTAACGTCAGACTACAAGAGTAGAGCACAGAAAAGACCGGTTGTCGCCGTACGTCATTTATATACTTTAATGGTAACTACCGGTTTTGTTGGTATAAAAAGCATTTTGCTCATTTAGTGTTTAATTAGTTAACGAATCATACTATTTCAGCCACAAGTCAAATATTCTAAAATACGTGAGAAATAGACGGTACGAATCAATACATACCGGAATTTTTTTTTATATGTAACAGTACGGTATTGCGGAGGATTTTCCACGATGACCGAGACCTGGAAACAAAATATAGTTTGAATAAAATTCAATGAGCAGTTTCGTGATTACCTCAATCATAAAATAAAGCTGTGTTAAACTTTTGACAATACAACCGTATTAAAATCGTTGACGATGGCTAACTCTGAACCTTGGGATATGCAAAGAACCAAACCTAGCCCAGTTAAATTAAACAACGTGAAGGGTCTACACCTAAGATTCAAGTAATTGTTGAGGTTTACAGACAAGCGTATCAAGATTTACTGATTACAAAAATATTGTGACTTTAATCTCTCTTTTAATAATACTACAACCCAACACAATCACTGCTTTTTATAAGGATGCTTGGCACCCAACAAAAGTCTTCAATGAGTTTGAACATATTTTGAAAAATCAATAAATAGGTAATCTCACCATGTTTCCATAAATTCTGAACAAACTGTTGCTACTGCCTTGCATGCTATTACTCTCACCAGAGTGATACATATTGTTGTATGAAAACCAATCTGGTATTTTGTTTTTCATTTGAGTCGCATGATCAACCAAAACATCAACCACACTGTCAGTTTTATCTTGTAATTTAAATAGTTTTTCTGGGTAGACTGAAACAAGATAGAATTTTATATTTCTTATTCTAAATTACCAATTCAAATAAAATGAACCTGTATTAAAAGATCACAACCATTTTGGATAATCTGACGATACTTGATGGGAGTCTGGACTTTATTCACAAGGCGTCTATGTCGAACCTAAATCTTGGTCAAACTGATGTGACTACAGAGTAAGTATCAAATATTGTTTTTTTATATTCATTGAATCCAACATCGCAATAATTTCATAGTGCGAAATTTTGTCCGCACAGGTCCTGGTCGGATTTTTGAAGAGTTTGCAATCAGCTTAAAAGCTGAAGCATTTTTTAAACACTGCACAACCATAAATACAAAATTTCTTTTCTATTAGGTAAATGATACTCATGAAAAAGAACTATGGGCATTGGGAAAAACAAATAAAATTTACCAGCATCAAATTGCAGCGGATAACTCTCTCCAAACAGTGATTTTAAATTTCCACCAGTTGAGTGTAGAAAATGATCCGTTGTTCTGTATCGGAGTGTTGCTCTCATTTCCATCGTTTCGTTTGATGGTTCTGGCGGGACGTGCCATATCATTACGTCCTTTGCCTGGAAATGTTTGAATGGAATGAAATAGCCTTCAACATGTCAATTACTTGAGTGTGGGACGGTTAGAGAACATAATCAACTAGCCCAGGGTGGTCCAAACCACGGCTAGCGGGTCGTATGCGGCCGGCCGACAGATTCCGTGCGGCCCGCGGAACAACTTTAGCGTGCCATTGGCAGATAATTCATTGACAGATATTTGTATTTATTGGCAGAACATCTTTGAGTTATTTTTAAACTATTCCAACTGGAATTAGTCCTTTTCTCAATTCCGATGTCGGGATTCATGGTTGGTAAAATCACGAAATTTCAATATTGTATCTAAAACCTCAAGACAGGACGGTGCCAATATGGGAATGACGTCCCTATTTCAGCAAAAACACTCCTATATTTTCAAGTATTGGCCATGTGACAACCGTGACAAACCGCATAGCTGACTTAGCGCCGCACAATCCAGTTTGGGTCCCGGAGTCCCAACTTAGACAGACTTAGTTGTATTTTTACGATATCATCAGGCCTGTTCACGCCACAAGTCATACGATTAGCCAAATATAACAATTCATCTTACAATGAGTATGAAAAAAGATGACCAAGATAAACTATGAGGAAACGTATATATATCCTAACCCACTACAACGTCATCTGTAATACCTGTCACGTAAAATATAATTTGAAGCGACATTACGAAACCAAACACGAGAAAAGATACAAAAAATTCCACGGTAATTTTCGGGAAGCTAGTTCAAAATAACTAAAGGCTTTATATCTTCTTTAATACGCTTTATCGTGCCCTTCGTTTTGTCACAAACTTGTCTAGATTTCACTTTTGTTTGCATGGTGTAGCTCATGCTTGAATCTTCAATGTTTCGGTTTTTGGGCTTATCTTACTGGTATAAAATGATGTGTGATTCAGATAATAGTTGGCTAGATCAGGGTGGTCCAAGGTTGCGAGGTTGGCGGGCCGCAAAAACTTTTAATGATGTCTCGCGTACCGCAGTCGGAGTAAAACCCAAAAGTGATCAAAACATCGCGAATTTACTCACTTCACAAATATTTAAGAATGAGAGTTTAGTTCACCGTTCTAATCAGTTCCTTTTAAGAAATAAACGAGAATATCGGTTGGAAACCGAAGACTTATCGATCGATAGTTAGGGGATCCCCCAAAACAGAAACTGCAGTTTCGATTCATCCGCTCTTGTAACTTGCGCACTGCGCATCGCACACACACACTCGGCGAGTTTCAAAATTCTCTCGCTTTACAAAAATCTAGATCACTATATCAATAATTGATTGATAACTCGCTAAATATACGACATAATTCGCCCAAAATCAATAGGCTTCTGGTCCGAGATAAGATGAATGCACATGCAAAATCTGGAGCAGATTCAATCTCGCTTTCGTGAGATATCGCGTGCATCTAACAGACACACACACAGACAGACAGACAGACAGACAGACAGACATACATACAAATACCTATCAATATACTTACCGATCTTAAGATCGAAAAGTAACAAGGACATAGCGTTTCGCACGACACTTCCATATCTTCAACAACAAAAAGTTGGAAGAGCAATTCAACAATAACAACAACAAACCCAGGGACAAAGGTCTTCTTCATATACAATATTAGGGGTTGGGTCGCATAAAAACATATTGTTATTATAACTCATCAAACACAAGAAAATCGTTTTGTTTAAATTTGACAAAATACGTATTAAATTCTAAATGAATGATTAAAATCACACTTAAAACAGTAATCGATATAATACTTACTTTGATAGAAAAAAATGCAGAATTTTTGTAATCATCATCAGTGCAGTTCATGACATCACCAAACACTTTTTTGTTTGCCCAGGCGGTTTCAACTGCAGTTATTATTATGAATAATTTAAACTAAAGTACTGTAGGCTAGATACGTGTTGGTTAAATATAACGCAATGGCGAAATGGCCTTTCTACACTTGCAGGAAGTCGGGAGAATCTTCAGATAAATATGTTGCTTTTCAATGCAATGATGGGCTGTGTATAGGTTTGTGTACAGTAATTAATTACTAATTCAATTAATTATTCGATTAATGTAATCAGATTTCCTGTATCTATACATTTTATAAACTTTACATTAGGTATATATACTATATTTGAGGGGTAGACAACCTTACTCGTTTATTGAGCTTATAATTTAATTGTAATCAGACAAATGGCAACAAAACGAAGAAAATTTGATGCTAAGTGCAAAGGGTTCAATGGCGCCGAAAGTATTCAAATGAAATTTTTTTAAATTCAATACAATGAGGAAATGAATTTCTATGCTATTCGAGAGATGTATCCCTGCTTGATTTTAATTAGGTATATATCAAAAGTATCATCCGTTCGGTTGCAACTTTCGCCAATGACTTGCAACCCTCAATTTTGGCCCGCGAGCGACAAAAGGTTGCCGATTCCTGCTATATGTGCTGTACTATATTTATATATATATATTATATCTTCACCATATTCGCCAGTTGAAAAGGTAGTCCAACGATCATCATTGTCACATTTGTCCATTATATCTTTTTCATGTACACTGGCAACCAATGTCCACCCTCCTCCGTCAGTCGACATATCGCAGTAAGTCTGAAATAATGATGCTTAGATGTTTGTTATATTAATTAATAGCTTTACCTTGCACGTTATTTTTCTTCCTAATACACCCTGTTTTGATTCTATTGTTATACAGAGCATAATTGTTCACCATAACAGATTGCATGGTCTTGTGCCCCAAATACTTAAGCATGAATGATATGGTGCCACACTTACGTACAACGTTCTATGAGCACTCACTCGCTGGGTTATCGCTTGATATCGCATTTGTTAAAATTGATCTTCATAAACTCCATAAAGCTCGAAGTAAATTTAAAGAATAATGTTATAGTCTTTTTCTTGCTAAACTATTAAACGATTGAAAAAGGGCATATTTTGGTCCTATAGCAAAAACAACAACACGTAATAAGTCCACTTCAATTGCAACAAGAAAAGGAAACACATAACGCAATTTCGTAACCTAATTGCCATATATTACAGGGAATTTCAATATTATATATCAACGTCTACCTCAATTGGTTTGAAATCATCATCTGGTTTGATGTGATAAAATCCACTTGTTGTTTTCCCATTATCTTTCAAATCCATGCAAGATCTCATTTCTGGTGGGGGTGATGGCGTTTTTTTAACCTAAAAAAAATTTATTTAAAGTGGTATCAAGCTGTTTTGGTTTAATAGAACTCCAAAAACTCAATTATTGGGGTTTTGAAAATTAGTTACGTAGCTGAAATTTCAACTTTCTCATTTTACAAAAAATGTTTTGCACCTTACTCGTGTCTAAGCCACGAAAGAAAATCTCTCCTGAGCTCCAATTACCTACCGAATCATCGTCCCATCGACGTTTTCAGTGATGACTTAAGTAAATTATATACTCTAACACTATGCACAATGTATTTTATCAAATAGGGACAACGCAAAACAAAGTAGCGCGAGAAATTATTTCGGTCGTCGTCACAGAAGTTCGCTGGTGGTCGCACTTTCTGATAAGCGTATTGATATAGTATTCTAAATGTTTGCATTTCAAGACTTTTTCCTAGTCCATTTTGCATGGGTCATTTTCGAGGAAATTTTTTTTGTTAACCTTTAACCGTAAAACTTATGGCTTTTTAAATGCGAATACTCGAGTACTATTTGGCGAGATTACGCTATAAACCCATTCCTGAACAATACTTTACGTCCACGGCCTAATGTCCAAAAAGTCTTGAAAATTACTTCTCATCTTAGCATTTTCTTGTGCAATTTTTTAACAAAACAATACAACAACCATTACTATAGCTAAAATTGTTACTGCAAGATTCCCAATTGTAATTTCGAAATCATCGATTCTCTTGACGATTTCCATGACGGCTTTGATTATCACTGCAATAAAGCAAGCATGCAAGCCACAGTACGTCGTTATAACGAAATTGAAGATGGATTTTAATACTATACTTGTTTATAATTTGACCACTCGTGTATGTTCGAGTAAAATATTAAATAATCTAAGTTTAGAGTAGGGTATTTATTTGATTTATATCGAATATTTTGTGTTTTGGTAAATATTTGCTCGGGGATTTTGTGGGCCTTACTAAATTCGTCACGAGCCGCAGTTTGCTCACCTCTGGTTGACATTAAGGCATGCTGAAAGCAAGTCAAATGATATTAAGTATTAGAAAACAGAAATCATAAAAAGAGAATAAGTGTTTTTATGAAAAGCGTATGTGATGACATGTTGTAGATAAAAACACATCCGCTACGATCACCACTATTTATATTACATATTGGAAAACAACAAATATTCAAGCTTATGAGCGTAAATATAGAATTTCATATTCTATGTAAATTATGCAATTTATTTTGAAATACCTCTGATCCGGCATTCATCATCACTAAAAGTACAATCAGTAGAACAATTATGATCACTGCCATAACGATTTCTAATATCAATCGCCTTTTGTTGGTTGACTTGTATGGTGAAGGTCCTTGTTGGTAAGAGAAACGAGGAGTGGGCGTTGGTGAAGACGGGAGAGTCCTGCCTAAATAAAAACAAATATTTAATGACAGTAGCACAAGTCTAGTGCATGTTCTTACTTTAAATTTAGAATGGACATTTTCTTGGTCACGGAGGAACAAATACAGTGATATGATTATGATGGAGATATTTTAGAAGCAAACAATGTGAATATGGCTCGAGTTAGCATTCGGGTTCATGCGAGTCATTGCATAACGTGCATGAGGAAAGTAAATCACATGGGTGATTTTAAATTTTCCAACGCTTGCGCACTAATGAACCCAATAATCGGCATAACTGGAATGATTTTATAACTATTCTAGTTGTAATCAATTTGAAATGAAAGTAGTGTTAAGTATTTTGATTTTATATATATATTTGTTAGGGCAGCGCCGATTGTTCCTGGTCCATTAAACTCAATCAAAAAATATTCGAAGAAATTGTCTCATATATATATGAAAAAAAATCTTTCTACCGAGTGCAATGAATTTTTATTAAATCTATATTTAAAAAATGCATGAGAAATATACTAGCTAGACTTTAAGTCAGTACTTATTAGCAAGAACAGAGAATTGGCGACCAATGGTTAAGAAAGCTAATATATATATAATTAGACGTAGCGTAACCTTAAAAAGAGAGAACGAATTACATGAATACCAAAAATTAAATTCAAGATTCTAATCACTCAGGGTTTTCTATATAAAGATTATATGGATATACAACTTATATAAAACAATAATACCAGGACATAAATCAAACTTGTAACGTTTAATTTGCTCACCGTCACCTTCTTCGTAAGGATTCTCTTCGTCGGGAATTCCATTCATATTGCTTGCGAAGATTTTAAGACAATTGTATCGAATATATAGTTTTCTAATTATTTATTTGTAGTTGGAAAGAAAATATATTGATGAACAAGCGTACACGATTCAAGGTCTTGTTAAAAATTTATCAAACAATATGTCTGACCATTTATGTAACTAATCATTTTCTCCTAAAAATCTTGATTCAAATTTTTTACAATCGATATACTAGGTCAGGATCGGGATATATGAATTTCAACCTTACTATGAAATCACCAAGTTTATCGTAGACCCGCAAAACATGATGTTTAATAGATGTAAACTAACGCGAATTAATGAAGTCAAACAATTTGTTTTTGTAATTCAAATTAGCATTTTTATTGTCATTGACAACCAGGGCCGGATTTACCAACAGGCGGGACTCAAGTCCATAAAAGTCTGGAAGTTTAATTTTAAAATGTTATTCATTCTCAATCTGTTTAAACATTTTTAAGGCATGTTCCAAAGTTTAACAGTTCAAAATTTCTCAGAATTGAATTTTCATTGATTTCACATTTTTTCATTTCAAATATTCTCGTATGAAATGTTCAAAATCACGGTCGAATAAATAAACTTCTATGAATATGAACTCATCATTTTAACATTAAAGAACAACTTAATGTCTGATATACTTGCTTCATTTAGCACACGCATCTTGATTTGACTAAAATGTCATATTTTACGAAAAAAATCCAGCCCTGGTCGACATTTCCCCATTTCGGTACTTTTACTTGATTGCTCCCAGAAAAGCGCGACAGAAATATGTTTACTGAAAGCTTCGCTAACTTTTCATTATGAGTTATCATCTCTTGCGTCGTGCATATAAATATTAGAAAACATCATTTTTGTTTTCTTTTCTTCGAAGTGATTGCTTTTATTACTGCTATTATGGACCGCTGTATCAGAGGAAATGAAGTTTTTCAAAGACAAAATTGACTTGAAATAGTTCCAATAATTTCCTATTTATTAACGTAGACAACAAAATGTAGAAACAAAAATTGAATGTCATTACGATATGCAAATTGAAACTTGTTATAGCAAATAAAATGGATCAAATAATTCGGTATATTACACCAGTTTTACATAATCACCAAAAAACTCACGATGCCATGAGTCACGCTATATATGCGACACGCCCTGTTGTGCATATTTTTCTGTGGTTGAGTTCGAAAAATTATCTTCTATATAACAAATAGTCTAGTCTAAAGACCCTGGACAAGTTATTGGAAAAATCAACAACGATAAACAATAATAACTCTCGGCTTCAGTACCCACTCCGGTTTGGCAGATATTTCGAGGGCATTAAAAAAGTAAATGTATAACTTCACAGCTACCAGTTGGGTTACGCAAGACTAACGAACTACCTTTCCTTGATCTATGCCTTTAGCAGGTGTATTCGTATGTCGTATGCGTATGATGCTAGGATGTTATAACAAGAATAATAGTGTTTCAGA